GCCGACCCCGACGGATCCGAGGTCACGTTCCACCGCGTTACGAGGTCAGGATTAGTCGTGGTAATCAATAACAGAGATATGCGCCTCCGGGGGAATCGTATTAGCGGACGCTTCACTCCACTTTGTCCCCCTTTTTAATCAGTAAAAACGAACATCCGCCTGGTTTTTAATGCTACGGTTGTTTGATCCACATGATGTGAAGTGCTGAGGGAGACCAGCAGAGGGCAGCAGAACACAGCACACGGCTTATTCTACCTAAAGCTGTTTGAACCGGCTTCATGATCCTTCTTACTACACCGCTCAGATAATCTGCTTTAATTGGTGTTTAACAGCTGTATGCGATGTGTATCCATCCACACCTGAAAATAGTCCCCAACACATGAACCATTTGCTCATGTTTGAGGTTTTCTTTTTCGTACAGCAGAGTAGTAATACAATGCTGACATTTATGATAATAATGACGATAATGAATATATTTAAAATACGTGTACAGCAAGACATTCCAGCTTCGTTCTCTTACCGCTTCTCTCCACCAGAGAGCGCTAGGAGATCAGATGAGCCCTCGTTCTCAGCGCTCACCTCAATCCTGCGAGATGAACTATTTAAACGTTGTGTTTTTGCGGTGAGCTCGCCGCCTCGTGAATGATGGACGTCTCATCTCAAACCCAAAGCACAGCTTCCCTCTTTGTTCACGCACACGCGGGGGACGTGAGGCAGTCGCTGATTAATCACGTCGGTCACGTTCGGGCCTCTTCGAGAGGCTCCTCGTGTCACCTCTCTCCGACGCGCTGAATCACCGATGCAAAAGGACGCTGCACTTCAGGAGCCGGCGTAGTAGTAAAGGAGTGCGTGTCCGTGTGTGTGCGTCCTCTGCAGTGTGAGTCGTGACAGAAAGAGAGGGTTGTTTTTTTTTTTACACATAAAGGGGAGAGAGGGAAAAAAAAAATCCTCATTTCTATCTGGTCGTGTTCTGGCGGAGCTGAGAGTTGAGAGTGGGCGCGTTGAGTGGGCGATGTTCTGCAGTGTGTGTGTGTGTGTGTGTGTGTGTGTGTGTGTGTGTGTGTGTGTGTGTGTGTGTGTGTGTGTGTGTGTGTGTGTGTGTGTGTGTGAGAGAGAGAGTGTGGGGGTGTGGTAGGTGATGAGCTTTCAAGCGTGACTAAAGACTCACAACTGGGAGGAGTTACACATCTGCCTCTGATGTCGTGCTCGTGTGTATCCCTCAGTCAGGTTGTGTGTCTTTTGTGTGTGTGTGTGTGTGTGTCTTTAGATTATGCAGAAGCAGATGAACACACTCAGAATATTCGCATGTTGCAAACATGAACCACGCGTCTCACTGATGTGACCGGTCAGCTGAGGTGAGCGGACCCTGTGGACGTCATCCAGCAGGAACACGCCTCCCTCCTCCGAGTCCACGTTTTTGCAAATCCAAAAATGGAAGATTTTGCTTCAATTCGCGGTGGAGAAGAGTTCTTTGCAGCAGATTCCTGACAAAAAAAAAGAAGAAGCCATTTCAGCACCAAAAATCGAATGAAACAGCGGTGCACGGGAGTCATGCAGAAGAGCCCCCCCCCCCCCCCCTCCTCTGGCTGTCCCAGGACCCCCGCTGCCCGGTGAAGCGAAGACTCAGGGTTGTAGGCAGGAGTCACGCGAAGGGCGCGCTCATTAATTATCTCTGCCTCCCTTCCTCCCTCCATCCTCCCTTCATCGCCAGCAAGGTTAATCCCCCCCCCCCCGACTCCCCCCCCTTATCGCCCAATGAGTCTCATTTTTCATGCCCCCCCCCCGGTTTCCATCCGTGACCCCTCTCTCTCCCCGGCTGCTTTTCTGAACACTTGCATCGTCCCGCCGCGTTCACTTTTCTTCTGTCCCTCCTGCACTTTCTTTCCCTTTTCTCCTTTTTGTCCTCCTCCCGTCCTCCTCCCGTCCTCCCCTGGCCTCCCCCCCCCTGCCCTCCTCCCTCCCTCCTGTGCTTACCTTGAGCGGGAGAGCGGCGAGAGTAGATCTATTACAGCTTATCACTAAAGGACAGGCCAACGCCGCGCGCCGGTGAAATATGGCCGCTGTCACAGCCCCCGCCGGGCGCGACCCGGGCGCACAGCTCGCAGGGCCGTTAGAGGGGGGGGGGGCGGGCGGGCGGCCGGGCGGTATCAGGCACTTAATTCAAATTAATGAAAGATTTTCAGGCTTGATGTCGCCCGTTTGACAGTGATTTGGAACACAATTAACCTTGTCTACCCCCCCCGCCACACGCCCACCTCCACCCCCTCGGCCTCATCCTCAGTCTCCCTCCATCCCCTCTGCACCTGTCACGCTCCTCGACACGGCCTTATTGATTACGAGCCACGTGGAGACGACGATGTTTCATTAGATAACTGACGCTCCCTGCTGCCGTGCGGCCAATTGAATTAGCCCCGAAACGGCGGAATCCACACGGCGGAACGCGGCGCGCCTCGTCGGGGGTTTGCTTCGGGCTCAGAGGAGGCGTGGAGGCGATGGCGGTGCCAGCGGCGACGATTGCCGGCGGCGTTCATCTGCATTCGTTTTGCACGAATGTTATTTTCAAGGCGGATGCAGCTGAACAACGCAAAGAGCCGATTGAATGACTTCCATTCACGGCGAGCTCTGCTGCAACATCTGTGAAAGGTGCGATGGATTTCCACTCGCCGACTTCTTTAAAAGACCATCCGTCCTGTCAGCTAGACACTCAACGCTTTTATGGGCCATTCCACCTTGGGCTCGGGGTCACGGCCCCAAGCCGCCGATAGCGCTCTCACACTCACACACACACACACACACACACACCAAATAACACAACACAAAGGGCGAGATGCTGTGCAAGAGAGAGTATTGATGAGGCTTATGCACCCGTGTTGTTGAAGTGGGAAACTACTGCATTCCGTTTTTTACAGAAAAGAAAACAACGTAGAAAATAGTTGCAGTAGGAATCTATAAACCTTAAGATTCACATGGTAACAAGCTACATAACACAGCAAAAGTTTCTCATTGAGTTTATCTGCTAGAATAATGCACGCATGCACTGAAAATGCTAACACGCGAACAGTGAAAATGCTAACACGCGTGTAGTGAAAATGCTAACACGCGTACAGTAAAAAGGCTAACACACGTGTACAGTGAAAATGCTAACACACGCGTACAGTGAAAATGCTAACACACGCGTACAGTGAAAATGCTAACACGCGCGTACAGTGAAAATGCTAACACGCGCGTACAGTGAAAATGCTAACACGCGTGCAGTGAAAATGCTAACATGGGTACAGTGAAAATGCTAACACACGCGTGCAGTGAAAATGCTAACATGCGTACAGTGAAAATGCTAACACGCGTACAGTGAAAATGCTAACACGCGTACAGTGAAAATGCTAACACGCGTACAGTGAAAATGCTAACACGCGTACAGTGAAAATGCTAACACGCGTGCAGTGAAAATGCTAACACGCGTACAGTGAAAATGCTAACACGCGTACAGTGAAAATGCTAACACGCGTACAGTGAAAATGCTAACACGCGTACAGTGAAAATGCTAACACGCGTGCAGTGAAAATGCTAACACTCGTGCAGTGAAAATACTAATGGTCAAAGTGATAATGGCAACACGCGCGCAGTGAAAATGCCAACACGCGCGGAGTGAAAATGCCAACACGCGCGGAGTGAAAATGCTAACACGCGTACAGTGAGAACGCTAACATTTAGATTTTTTGCATACAACCTGGTGTGAACATTTGAAGGTAATAAAATGTCGTAACTAACAAGTCCTACAAACATCGTCATTCTTCGCACTCCTTAACGGCTTCATGTGAAACAATGTGAAAGCACTAGACATTTATGTTGGATCTGACCTCAGACCTGCTTGTAACAGTGAGCGGGATATTGAGATTAAAGACCCGAGACGCGAGAGGAAGGCGTCGTTTTTGCAGTGACAGCATGCAGGTTAGCGGAGTGACACGTATCCATTATGTCAGCGCCTCACCGCAGAGAGCCGGCGGTTACCGCGGTGACGAGCGCTGTGGCGATGTGACGGACAGCGAGGCCGTCAAATGGGGCCTCGGGAGAACTCGCCGACGTGACTCCTGTCGGGTGTGAGATTGAGGTTTCGGCAAACGCCTCCAGACGTGGGAAAGACTAACAGGCGAACATCCCAGCAGCACGGCGGCCAGTTTCAGTCATCACACGCCTCCTGCGTTCCAGTTGCGTCCTGCTGTGCGGGACCTTTTTAAGCAGTGATGATTAACCAGCTGTTGACTTGCAAGGACGACAAATACAGAAGAAAGCCCTGCAGCTCAGTCTCCCAACATCTTTTTTATTGTTGTAGAGAGGAAATAAGAGAACTCGCGCCGCACAAAACCGCACATGTGCACGCGCAACACGCGTGTGCTCGGGGTGTAGTTCAACCAGTTCCCCCCCCATGACTCACGACACACGCGTGTAAAGAGCTTAGCGCGAGGTGGGAGGGGATAAGCAGCACCCCTGATGTTTAAGCTGCCTTTGCTTTGAAGCAGATGTGTGTGTGTGTGTGTCTGTTTCGGTTGTGTGTGCGCCGAACCAAACGTCACGACTTTTTAACGCGTCCTCATCAGCCCACTGGTGAAGTGAAGCTGATCCGTTGCGAGGGAAACGGGGCAGGAACCGGCCTCATCGGCTCACCGCCGGTTTACGGCGTCGAGGAGGTTTCGCGCTCTTTTCTCCCTGAGTTTCCCCCGGCCGCGTCCCGACCCACAACGACCGGTTGTGTAGCCCGCCGCTCTCTGGGACGACCAATCCCGGCGTTCATTTTGTGACGATTGACTTCATACTTGTCCCAAAGCCCTGATACGCATGAATTTGCAATTCCAATCCAATATTTTTAGTTGATTGAAGTTGATTTAATAGGAATTTTTCAGCCAGGAATGATTTTAAACTGAAACTGACTGCGCCTCAGAGCATCGGGGCTCCGGTCTGAAGCTGCCGTGCGCTAAGTGTGACTGTCTCTGCTCTCCCCGTAGACCATCGTTCGAGGGAACCGGCCCCCCAAAGACGCCTCCATCAACGGCCTTCTGGAGGACTTCGACAACATCTCCGTGACGCGCTCCAACTCCCTGCGCAAAGAGAGCCCGCCGGGCCCCCACCAGGCGGGAGGCGGCCCCAAGCCCCCCGGCGGCGGCGGCGGCGGCGGCGTCCGCCCCGGCGCCCCGGAGGAGAACGGGTTCAGCCACTACTACTCCCGCTACTCCTGCGACCTGGACACCTCCGGCCGGGACTTTTCTCTCGACGCCGGCAAGCCGAGCTTCTCCGCGGACGGGGAACTGGGCCGCCGGCAGGCACTACCGGTTCACCAAGCAGAACGGCCACTCGTACCCCATCCGCAGCCCCTTCTACCCGGACGCCATGCCCCAGAAGGCCGACTACGGCAAGCTCCCGCCGGACTACCACACCTACCTGGAGAGCAAAGGCCGCTCGGCCGACGAGGCGGCCTCCACGGTGGGCAGCGGCGTGGGCTCCAGCGGCTACTACCGGGCGTCCGTCGGCGGCTCGTCCAGCCAGGACTACCGGGACACGTCGGTGGGCACGCCGTCCCGCGCCTCGCTGCGCAGCGAGCAGATCAACTACCCGGACAGCGAGTGGAGCTACGGCGGCCTGCGGGACGAGTACGAGAAGCGGCCCAAGAGCTCGTACGTGGCGCAGACCAGCCCCACGCCGGCCATACGGCAGCGGTCCCGCTCGGGCTCCGGGCTGCAGGAGCCCAACGTCCCCTACGCCGCCGGCGGGGCGTTCAAGAACCCGCCGCAGGCCCACCCGTACAGCTCCTACACCTACCCGCGCCTCTCGGAGAGCCTCGCCAACGTCCAGACGCTAACCAAGGTAACCAGACGCTGATGTTTACAGCCCCGACAAGTAGAAACACATCGGAGGACATTACCTAGACGTGTCCCCCCCCCCAGAATATTCTGTCCTTTTCTCCTTTCTCCCCTGTCCTTATAATCTCATTCCCGCCCCGTGCATCCTTCAGGGCCTTCTGGCTTCTTCCCCGAGGGAGGCGGTGAACCGCCACACACAGAATTACCCCTCTTTAGTGTCTCTGCACACAGATCACTTGACGCCGACCGTCCACCAGACAGCCCGGAATTACAGGCGCCCCTTGAATATTAAGAACAAAGACACCAGGAAGAAAATATGGATTCAGCTAGTTTAAAGATCTCAGGCGTGTTCCTGAGGTGTCATGAGCAAATGTAAAATAATATTCATACCTTAATAACAGGGAGAGGCTTAAATTGGCATGTCTCGTTCTTTAGGTCATGCAACCTTCGCGCCGCAGTGTTGCGTGTGCGTGTGAATGAAGCCACGTGACTCTGAACCAGCTCTGTACACAAGATGTGACCAAAGAGGAACAAACCAGAGGATGCCGCCGATTGGCACCTCGGGATGATTAAAAGCGCAAAATCTGAAAAGCCGATGACGCATTGCTGAAGTGAGAGGGGAAAAAAAAAGACGAGCGTCAATGCGAAAGGTTGAAACGAGCGGCGGCGTGACGTGCTGTTTGTGTCGTTTCTCATAGCGTAAAGCTCCCCGTCGGCACCGTGTGCATGTCGGCTTCTCCGAGGGCCCGATGGAAGCTGCGCTGTGCTGAGAGGCCCAGATTCCCCCGAGTGACCCGAGGGACCCGAGAGACTCGTCTCCGGCGTCAGCAAACAAACCGTCCGCGCGCAATGTGACCGTATGTTTCCGATTCACTCGCGGCGGTGCTCTTCGTTAGACGGGCGGCGCGGCTTCTCCTGCGCCTCCTCGCGCACTGAGACCGGGAACCGGGCTCGCTGCTGATGTGGATCCCGCGGCGCCTTGATGAAAAACCATTTAACCTGCATGCTTCAGTAAATAGCCACTCAGGGTGGGAAAAAAAAAAGAAAAGGAAAATCTGCCGCGGAGAATGCAAGAGCAGCAGGATTGGAGGTGCTGCAGGGGGGAGGTCATTTTTCTTGCATATTGGTTTATTATTTCCACTTCTGGGGTCGTCTTGCTCGAGGAAACCGAGCGCCGTGTGTCGGGAATGTAATGGTTCTGGGTCCAAAAGGAGACGTGAACTTCTTCCCAGTATATTAAATGCGTTGTTAGTATTTGCAGAATATAAATATAAATATCGCCCCCCCTCCCCCCCAGGGAGGAGTGGGCCGAGGACACAATCACATCCTAATTTGTGTGATGTTCGGAGGTTTCCCAGCTGTGGCAGGAACGCCGAAAAGAAACAAGGAGTCATCTGGCAGCTTAAGAATCACTATTCTTCTCGGCTCACGGACCTTGTAACAAACACGCCCCCCCCCCCGCGCTCTCATCCTCTACCTTTTCTTCTCTTTGCCTCGCTCAGCCCACTCACACCACCGGAGTAAATCCCCCCTTTTTCTCCCTCGCTGTTGTCGGGAGCCGGTGGGGATGAAACGGTGTACAGCACACTGACTTGGCCACACACACACACACACACACACACACACACACACACGCGCCGGCGTGCGCTCCCCCCCCCTCTCGCTCTGCTCAGTGCCGCAGCTCTCGGTGACAAATTGATGTTGCGGCACTTTCCCTTTTCTGCAGCCTTAGCATAAAACCGGCCCAACGATGTTCCACCGGCGAATTCAATTTCACAGTTGAGTTGGGTTGTTGATTACCCTGCCAAGCTCAGATTAATGCGCGTTTAACCAACATGGATCAGGAGACCCCCGGCTGACAGCCAGCCAGCCAGCGGTGCCGGCCAGCGGTGGGCCGCCCCCCCCCACGCTACACCTGCCTCATAGTGATTGATTAAAAGAGTTCACACCATGTAATTATACACCATCCCAACACATCAGGGCTCCTCCTCCTGCCCTGTCAGTGCGTCTTTGTTGTGAGTGATCGACACAGAGAGAGACACAAATAAAGGGGAAATAAGAGGAGTTTTTATGATTTTCTCAGTCGTGCTGGAACATTTTTGTAGAAGACAGTAACAATTAATCTCTGCTCGGTGGAAGCAGCTCGAGTGTCCGTCGGTCCACGCAGGACTATCGATGTTTGGTAATTACACTGTCATCTTCTTTGTGTGTGGAAGATGGATTGAATCAAAATAACATTCTGGAGTCCATTTAGACCCGTAACACACCAAAAAATGTCATTAAAAAAACAGGTCAAAATATGATCGTTTGAAAAAAAACTGCTGAAATATTTTGTCAAAAAAGGTTTTTCAAAAATTAGGTCGAACTTTTTTGGGGAAAAAAAGTAAAATGTTTTGCCGAAGAAAGTCACAATAGGTTGTGTCCAAAAAATAAGAATGAATATATAATAATTAAATTCAGCAATATTAGGTTGAGAAATATATATATTTTTTGGTCAAGAAATGTTTTTTTAAAAATTCAAAATCTTTTCAAAAATAAATTAAAAAAAGGTTGAAATAGCAAGTTGCAGTTTGGTAAAATAAAAAAGAACTACAGCTACAGAGTATGACGTGACAAAAAAATGGATTCTGAAGTTGTATGTGCGTGCATGCATTTGTGTGTGTGTGTGTGTGTGTGTATGTGTGTGTGTGTGTGTGTGTGTGTGTGTCCGGCTGATGTTTCTCGAGGAACGTGGAGGCGTGTCCCAGATCCCGACGCTCCCCAGACTCCCGGCTGATGAATGGAGAAGTTTAGGTCCTTGTCCTGTGGACTAAATGTCCTCCGTTAGGTCCGTCGAGGGATAATGTACCCGCAGACGTCCCCCGGAAGTTACAGCCGGCGAGGACACGAGTTCGCCGGCGCGTCCGACGCGGTGACATTCGTCCGCGCCGGGCCGGCGGTGCACGCGGAGTCTGTGGAACCAGACGGGCCTTTTTTCCTCCCCGAATAACCTCGACCTTGTTCTTCTTCCTTCTCCAGGGCGACTACGAGTGTCCCGCGCTGGACGGTAGTCCACAGGTCGCGGGGGGCGACACGTACCTCGAGGCTCTTCAAGCAGCTGAGGCCACATGAGGCCGCCGGGCTACCGCCCGCTCACCTGCCTACCCGCCCGTGTTCAACATTACAAGCGTCACTCTACCACTACCTCTCTCCCAGCCCAGCCCGCCCTACACCCCCCAGGTACGGCCCGCCTAGCAACAGAGGAAACGACCAGAATACATGTGGTGTAATGAAGATGTCTCTGTGATTTGCTGCGTGTTTTGAACACAGGGGGCCTACTCGCAGCCCTCCTCCCCCTACATCCCCCCGGGGGGCTACCCGCCCCCTTCCTGGGGGTCCAGCTCGGACACGCAGCCTTCCAGAGTCTCTCACGAGCAGTTCAGGGCTGCGCTCCAGCTGGTGGTCAATCCAGGTGGGGAACGCAGCGCTTAACCTCCGTCGCCGGCCCGCCGCTGCTGCTGCCGCGTCCGCGCTGAGCCTCGTTTTTTCGTGTGTGCTCCCCCTCCCCCCCCCCCAGGTGACCCTCGGGAATACCTGGACAGCTTTATCAAAATCGGCGAGGGCTCCACGGGTATCGTGTGCATCGCCAGCGAGAAACACAGCGGCAAGCAGGTGGCCGTGAAGAAGATGGACCTCAGGAAGCAGCAGAGGAGGGAGCTGCTCTTCAACGAGGTGCGTGCGTGTCTGTCTTTGTGTGTGTGTGTGTGCGTTTGATGTTATCATTGTGACGACGTGACGTGAGGGCGGGCGGAATGAAGCCATCTCCCCCTGCTGCGTTCCAGGTGGTGATCATGAGGGACTACCATCACGAGAACGTGGTGGACATGTACAACAGCTACCTGGTGGGGGACGAGCTGTGGGTCGTCATGGAGTTCCTCGAGGGCGGGGCTCTCACCGACATCGTGACTCACACCAGGTAGATCGGCGCCAGGCGCCGGCGCGGCCCCTTTGCTCCCGGAGGATTGCTCTGCAACTTTTCCCCTCTGCGTCGTCGTGTGCCTCTTTGTTTTAAGCTTACTTGGTGATTACAGTCATTAGCGCGCCGTGTCAGCAGTAGCGCCGCGCGATGTCGGCCGCTAATGACACGCTTTGGTCCCAAAGTCTTCTGAACGCTCTCCCACACAGATGTGTGTGTGTGTGTGTGCGTTTGTTTCAGTTCACACACAAGCGCCTTTTGAAGCACAAATGAAAATCTCAGTTTAGACGATATTATTGTGCACAGAACTTTTCTCTTTTTTTTAGTTGTCTACATTCTTTCCATAAGATATTCTTCTGAGTTTTGCATCAGAACAAAGATCCAAAGTGAGAGGAAACAACGCGTCTGTCAAATTGATCTCCGTGGATGAAACATCCTTATTAGATTTAGTCTCTAATCAGGCCGCTTACGTCTCCATGGTAACAATGTAGGTGTGTTTCTGCTTGGTAATTTCAGCCGTATTTGTCCAGGTGGAGGCTTTGTGTTTATCAGCATGAACACACACACATGAATCTAACACTCACACGCAACGCACACACACACATCGAGCTCCCCCCGCTGCATGGCGTCCATCTTCTTAAACTATTGCAATCACGCTCAAATTTCAATTATACTAAAGAGTTTGTTAATGAGCTGCACTTTTAATGTGAGTGCAAAAGCGTTTATGTGTGTGTGTGTGTGTGTGTGTGTGTGATTCTCCACTTGACAACCTTTTCAAGCTCATTAAAAATGTTTTTCACTTTGTTTGAAACAATTTTCTGTTTCAGCGATCCTGTTTTCCGTTCAAGTGTGTGTTTTCATTTCTGTGTGTTCATGTGTGTGTCTGTGTGTGTGTGTGTGTGTGTGTGTGTGTGATAAGGCGGCGCAGTAAGAGGTGAATTGTTTCTGCGTACGCGTCTCCATCTCGTTCACTTTGAGTTAGCCAGTTGTTCTCCGTCAGCAGAAGGCTCATTTATCTCTTCTGATTGTAAATGCAGGCATGTGTGACTATAGGATCTGCTGTGTGTGTGTGTGTGTGTGTGTGTGTGTGTGGGCCTCGGGGTTGTTGTGTGTGTTCTATATTCATGTACTACACGTTTATATGTTCCCTGTAATCGTGCACACGTATGTGATGGCCAGCTGGGTCTGGATGTTGATGTTCTGTGTGAGCTCAGTGAGACGCGCTGCATCGCCCCGCCTGCCCATATGGGACCCACACACACACACACACACACACACACACACACACACACAATCGCTGCCGGCTTATAATCCCTTTAGAATTACAGTAAAATCTGAAACTGTGATCGTTTTTACCACTAAAATGTGTTTTATTTCTTAAATCTTTATGTATTGAATCTGTGCTTTTAGTTACAAATACGATTTGTTGGAAGATCACATCTTCCTCCCTCACGGACCCCTTATCTTATTTTTACCTACCCACAATGCATCACAAAGAAAGCACATAACAGAAGATGGTAGACTGTATATTTCGATGACGAGTTGCAAGCGGGAGGCCCGGAGGCTCCGCCCCCACTCGCCGCTGACGCGTGCGCCCGTTCGTCTCCCCGCAGGATGAACGAGGAGCAGATCGCCACGGTGTGCCTGTCGGTGCTGAGGGCTCTGTCCTACCTGCACACGCAGGGCGTCATCCACCGCGACATCAAGAGCGACTCCATCCTCCTGACCAGTGACGGCAGGGTGAGTGTGTTCAGACTCCGCCCACCGGGATGCTATCGAGCCTACGTCAGGTTAATGAGCGATGTTACTCCCTTGTTCCTGTCGATCTCACACACACACACACACACACACACACACGTGTGCACACACTCTCGCTGACCTTCTCTGCGGGCGCCACTCGTCAACAGCCAGTGCCAGAAACTCATCATCATCAATTACCACTGGTCCCCCGGTAATTAAATCTCGCCTAATGCCTCCTAACGAGCTGATAAGACGTGATTAATTGAAGGCTAATTAACCGCTAATACGGGAGATCAGCGTCTCCCGTGAACGCGCTTCCTCGCCGCGGTTTCTGCGCCGGTTCGCCGCAGGGAGCGGAACCTGAAGCCTTTTTATCTTCTCGTGTGCGTTTTGCAGATCAAGCTATCAGACTTCGGCTTCTGTGCCCAAGTTTCCAAAGAGGTGCCCAAGAGGAAGTCGCTGGTGGGCACGCCCTACTGGATGGCACCGGAGGTCATCTCCAGACTGCCTTATGGGACCGAGGTGAGGACCACGCGCGCACACACACACACACACACACACACTCACGTGGATGATCTACGCGCAGAGTGAATGTTCCTCGTGTGCCTGCAGGTGGACATCTGGTCTTTAGGCATCATGGTGATCGAGATGGTGGACGGAGAGCCGCCCTACTTCAACGAACCCCCTCTGCAGGCCATGAGGAGGATACGGGACAACCTGCCCCCTCGGCTAAAAGAGTCGCACAAGGTACAAAAAGACCCGCTTCGCTCGCTCGACCTCTTTGAGGTGGAACGTCGTGGTGGGGGAGCTGAGGGGTTTTGCGTTGTGTCCTCAGGTGTCCTTGGTGCTGCGGTCCTTCCTGGACCTCATGCTGGTGAGGGAGCCGTCGCAGAGGGCCACGGCCCAGGAGCTCCTCCAGCACCCCTTCCTCAAGCTGTCGGGACCGCCGTCCTGCATCGTGCCCCTCATGAGACACTATCGCCACCGCTGACCTGCTGCCCCCCCCCCCCCCGCAGACCTCGGGAAAAACAAAAAAAAGAGTTAAACTACCCCCCCTCACACACACACACACACACACTGCCAGGGTGGCACTGCCCTGACCCCCACCCAACCACCCGCAGCGCTACACCTGTACCCGTGACGTAGATTAGCCAGAGGAATTACACTTAAAGACAGAAAGAGACAAACGGGAAGAAAAGAAGGAAACTTTGGGAACTCGGCTCCGCAGGGGGCGCGACGAGGTAAAAGTGGGGCTTCTCTCGTCTTCTCTCTTGGCGGCGCACCCCCCCCCCCCCCCCCCCCATACACCCCCCGCCCCTCCCCCCCGCCGCTCCGCAGGGGGCGCGGCGAGCCGCCGACGTGGTGGAGGGATCCGGAAACCGAACCGGAGCGATCCGCCGGTCCAGCGAACACGTCTCTCCTCTCACACACAAACAGTGTAAAATGTATTTTAGAGAAACTTGTACAGTTTTGATAATTTGCAGTATTTTATCGTGTCGTAACCATTGTAATATGAGCAGTATTAAATAGTTTCTGCAGAGATTTTTCCTACTGTTTATAATCCAGTTTTTGCTTAAAGATATACGAGACCCAAATAAACCTACCTAAACCTAACTGTTACTAAAAATACTAAATATATTTATTATCTTACATTTGTAGACAGAACTTCCATTAAATGTTGGGAAAAAAGGGTAATGAGGGGATTTTGTATGACGTTTTGAAGTATTTATTTATTTATTGGAATAGAAGGATTCCTTTTCTTTGGTAGTGTGGCCTTTTGTTTTGTTTTTGGATTTTACATTTCAAAAAAACGCATCACAGACAGCGATCAGTTGTTATATCATCCAAGCAATACCCCGATCCCATTGATGTACTTATGATACTGTACTTACACCCTGCATTTAAATGTAGCAACGAGACCAGTGGGGGAAAAAAAGAGACCGGTTTTCTTTTTATATCAAGAGTCTCATCCTGTTTCCATCAACGCCGGGAGGCGCCCGTCCAAGACGCCGCCCCCCCTCCCCACAACCCCCTTCCCCCCCGGCGCAGATCTTAGGATGCCGATAGAAAGGTCTCGTTTTCTACCCACATCCTCACCGTCATCATCTCACCGCTTATCCTCAGTGGGACGACTCGCTATCTGTGCAACCGTGCTGCCATTCTCATCTGTGGTCGGACCGGGAGAACAGTGTAGTCCCCCCCCCCCCGCCGCGCCGTTTTTTACCCATCATTCACTGTGATATGTAAATACAACTGTGCATACGTGGACGTGTGTGTGTGTGTGTCAACGAGCAAAAGAGGTTAGAGCGTGTTTATCTCTGTACAACATCTGAACGTGTGCGTGTGTGTGTGTGTGTGTGTGTGTGCGTGTGCTGCCGGTATCCCTCGACAACGTGCCAGGACCTGAATGAGTAACACGTATCTGTGGTGTTGGCTTGTACAGTGATATTGCATGTTTGTTATCAGTGAAGCTGGTTTCAATTAAAAAACGCCCATAAAAACATTGAGATGTGTTGCATGGATTTTTCCTCCATTACCCTCGAGATTCTTCTTCTTCTTCTTCTTCTTCTTCTGTGTCTCATATCAAGAGATTCTTCATTTTGGGTCTTCCACATTCTTTATTTTCAACAGTTCTCATCTCCCGACTATTTCACCCTAACTTCACCCCCGAGCCGAGAGGCAGAAGGACTCGTCGGCGGATCGCACGTCGCCACGATCTATGAGGTCATTTCTCTTTCCTCCCTCTCGAGCCGTTTCCCTCTGAGAGCCTGTAATGGGATATCGATTCCGCTCGGACAGAGAATGGAGCTTCTTCCTCCGTCGGCGGCCCGGTAAATAAAGCACAAGTAGCGGAGGCCGGTGGGTCTGCAGGGCGTCAGTGAGCCTCGCGCCGGAGACCGGAGCTGCTGTTGATGTGAATCATGCACACAAGCACAGGGGACTTTCTAACGCTATTTAGATCATTTCCATTTGCCTTTTGAAGAGAACATATAAATGCAAAACACGTGAACGCGCGGAAACCGAACTTACTGAACAGACAGCGGCTCCAATGTGGCAAATGAAGCTCAGGCAGCAGGTGAGTTTTGTGATTTATTCTGATTTAGTGTTAATTCGGTGACGCTTATGCGGCCTTGTAACCTCCGGTGTGCTGTTTTAACGTCACAGGTCGTTAAAGACGTCCCGCCTGTTTGCAGCTGATACCATTGTCCGCGTGTTGTGCAGCAACCTCGGGGCCACGTCAGCGTGTTGTTGTTGCTGCTGCAGGTTTTTAACACGACAACGACAGTGCGATGGAGACGGAGTCTTAAAATCGGTCTGATCAATTGTTTCTCTACACGCTGCCACGGTCTGACGTCCTGGTGGACGACCAATCCGCCTAAAGACACGTCGGAGAGCTAACAAACGACTGCATCCACAATGTCAATGCTTTTCCTCCAAAATAAGTCAATGAATTAACTTACTGGATGATTTTTTTTTTATTTACAGGAACACGAGTGTTATGAATTAATTTCATGAACGCAGCTCGGCCTTTACAGTCAATCAAGCTTCCACCAACAAAAAGATCTTCAAGATCTCCTCCGGCGGAGACGTGACTCATGCGAGTGAAACTGGCCGAGGGGCTTTGACCGTGATGACTTGTGACTGAGGACGAAGTTCGAAGCTCACGCTGCTCAAACGGAGGGTTTGTACCTGACAAGAATGCTCTATTTATTCCCAATTAGACTTTCTCATATTGCATTTCCTTTAACGCCACCAACAAAATCAATACCTCATGTCGGCCACCTGTTGTTCACGTCGTGCTATTTCATTTGTTGGGTTATTATTTATTATTTCATACTTTAATACAATAAGAATAACTGGACAGGTGTGTAGAGATGATTCCAGCAATTTATTTCAATGGACAGAAGAATACTGCACAGGATTGCATCAGCAGAGGTTTATGCATAGACTTTAATTCTGAAAATATTATACACATAGTTTTTTTCAATTTGATAACCTCTCATTTCATAAACACTCTCATATGGCGTTCTGATAAAAATCCTCCACCCGTTGGAGCGGAATCTTCCCCAGATGTTCATGTGTTTCTTTCCTTCTCTTTTTGATATGTTCCGTACATCGTTGTGGAGAAAAGATTCGTGGAGGTCAAAGCAAAAACATCGCGATTCTGAATGCCACTGCACTGCACACACCACAAGACTCGTCCACGGGGGAAAACACTACGGCTGCATTCAACAAATAAAACTCTGGGGCTGAAAAATAATAAAATATCAAGATCGGCAAACACAGAACCAACAACAGGTGTCCAAATGATTTAGCAGCACTTTTCGGAGGCGGGAAGAGAGAAGGGGACACCGAGCGGGGGACAAAAGACAGCAGAAGCTCCGGCTATTTCGTGCGCTTTCCCTTCAGAGACAAGTTGGATAAAAGTCGCTGTGGTGACGAACTAGATGGACGTGGTGGAAGAAAAACCGGAGGAACGTTGTCACCTCCAGATGACCGACGCTGTGATCAATAACCGTTATGTCCTCATCCAAATGCTAATGGCTGCAATACAGACTATGAATTTATGGCCTCAAGATTCAATTCAGGAGCGGGGAAAGTGAGGTTTTTTTTTTTTGTGGATTTACCCTGCGTCTACACCCATGCTACAGGCCCCCACGCCGTCCCTTTAACTGGTGGTGTTCTCCGTCAGGCATTCAGTCCGTCGCGTGGTTCCCTGTGGTGTCGGGCCTGGGGCTACATGTTCTTGTACATGGAGCGGTCTCTGGGCAGCTGCGGCTGGCTCGCCGTCAGCTTCAGGTGGAAGTGGTAGACGGCGAGCGTGATGACGATGATGAGGGCCAAGATGAAACCCAGGATGAGGGGGAGGGTCTCCTCCAGGCGCTCCCGCTGGTCCGTGATGCACTTGTAGGCTGCAGGGAGGAGGCACATAATGAAAAACAGTCGGCGTTCCGGGGGGGACTGAAGATGACTGACGGGGGTCCCGGACGATTGTGCAGAATTAATTATTAATACAGACACAGGATCGCATTGGATTGGATTGTAATTTTGATATAATTCTGTCCTACAGTCTTGGTTATCATCTCATATTCGCTTAATGACTCATGAGTCATTTCTGTTCATTTAGAATATGTTTTTCTCCAAGTTGCAGGTATACAATTTAATCAATTTTATTAATAGATGTCATTTCAGTGAACGTATCTATTAATTCATTTGTTATATTTTGTTTAACAAAGTTGTTTGGGTCGAGCCTGGTGTTGCCACACACATAAAACACGGGTCCCATCCCTCTGGGACATACTGATAATTATCAGTATTAACACACCGTTTAGACAACACGCGTGTGTATAGTCTGTGGTTTAACGTGTGTGTTTCTCTGTGTGCAGATTCGCACCAGGAGGGAGGCAGCAGAGCGCAGCCGAGCAAGCGACGCTTCCAAGGTGGTTTTCTTCAGAGGACAGCCGGCTACGTCGAGTACGTCTATAAAGGCTGCAGGGATGCGACTGCACTCGTAAAGTCCTGACCCCCCCCCCCCCTCTCTTTTTCTTTCTCACTTTGTGTCTCCTTTGTTCCCCTTCGCATCTCCCCTCTGCAGTCCTATAGCTTCTCCTCATGCTGCAGCAATACCCCCCCCCCTCCTCCCCCCTCCCCACCAGGGAGCTGTGCGAGATGTACATTGTTAAACTCTCACCCCAATTGCTCCTCATTATCTTTATCGCAGGGACAGTTTGGGGCAACGGTTCACTTTTTCTTTGGCATGTTCCCTCGGAGGCGATGTGTCGGTTCTTACGTTCGCTGAATATGAAGTCCGAGGTGATGTCGAAGGGCTGCATCTGGGTGTCGTACATGGAGATGGTGACGCCCTTCTGGTGGTCGGTTGAGATCAGGGTGAGAGTCTGCTGTGCGTCGCACACGTAGGAGAGTCCGGCGGGGGTCACCAGGGCCGACAGGCGGTGGGTGTTGGCCGTGTGTTTCCCAGCTGGGGGGAGAGGAGGAGTTTGAATAAGATGGGGGGGGGGGGGTATCCGGGCAGTATCCGGATGGATCCATTAGGACCAAAAGCAATAGAAAGATGAAATAAAACTATACATGCAAAATAAAAATAATTAAATTGGAGGTAAAATTATTCAATTATGTAAAATTGAATTGATTTAAAAATGGTGTTGAGTTGATGTATTTGTGTTGGGTTAATCTTAAAGACGGGATGGGACGTGCTGAGTGGACGGTCCTCTGCGGGACACTCACGGTTGTACGCGTTGATGAAGTGCGTTGTCTCCGAGGTGTCATAGACGAACTGAACCTTGCTGATCTTCCACACCTCGATGCCCTTGTCACGGAACTCCTGCAACACGCACACAAACACACACACACACGCGCGCGTGCGTCAAACTGGCTTTTTTTCCACTGCATGAAGTGGAGGAAGGAACGTCCTTTCAGGCTCCTGCTGGAACATGAACATGTTCTGACAGTGGATTAGGTAACGTCCTTTAGAACTTTCCCTTAATTATGGACATCAGTAAAAAGTACATCATTGGACCGTACGGCCATTTTTTCCAGTAAAAATAATTTAAAATTGAATCCCATTCAAATTCCAGACCGTATCTCCTCATGTCAAACACAATATTCACAGTGACAGTGGATTTGTGATCTTCCCGTAATGCTTTTGGGTGTTTTGCGTCTTCATGATTCCAGGCTTTACAAACAGCCTGTGATGTGATTTATCTGCATTGTCTCGCCCACCTTGGAGAAGTAGATGCGAAGCGTGTAGGCGTTGTTCTTCCAGGTTATGTGGATCTCTGACTCCGTGCTCCCACACTTCCCCTCGATCTCTGCCCCGCGGGGGAGGGTGAAGGCCGCCTGCTCGGTGATCAGCTGCCGAGAGACACAGCAAGCACGTCGAAAAAAGTTGAGCCAAAATGGACAGATTGGTTGGTAGATACTGTCGGTTGAGGGTCAGCATTACATTCACGCACTATTTTGTTATTGTAAGCGGGAACACAGTAGTGTGAATTTAATCGAGGCTTCACAAGTTGGACATCAAAAAATGTGTATCTATTGTTTGACGGGTCCAACGACGTGATCATTTTACGCACAAAAACACGCCAAAAAATCTGTGTCCAAAAACAATTTTGAGGCACTCAACATGCACCGTCCTTGTTAATAAGAGCACAACTGGTCAATTCAAATAAATGGTGAAATATTTTTCATGTAAAACGAGTGTTTCTGTTCTGCTGCAACCAGCTTTACGCACAGCGACCATTAACCACACAAGGCGACATGCTTCTTACATGCTTGAAATGCGCATTATGTTTAACTTCTTTTTTCCAACCACCCTCGTGTATTAAAATACGAGGATTCCTTACGTCTATTCCATTGAGCGCGAGCACGTCATACGGCACGAGGAATCTCACGGCGAACTCCACCATCAAGCATGTCGTGCCGTTCTCCCGGACCGCGAAGATGGCTTTGTCCGGGTCGCTGGAGAGACCGGACAGGTTCTCCCCTTCCTGCTGCGCCAGCACCACGGACTGCGACAGCACACCTGGAAACAGAAAATCTTTGACGTGGGTCAGGTAGGAGTGGATGGGGGATAAGGAAGGGGGGAGGGGGGGGGGGGCACGTATGTCAGCGGGGTAACTGATGAGGCGCACACACACGCACACCAAATCACGCCGAGTCAGCGCAAACAGCGCCTGCATCCGTGGTTCCACTCTGTAGTTCAGCCCGCGTCTTTAGACCACCTGCGTTCCACCTCGTACAGTTTCCTCGCGGCAAAGTCGAAGGCGGCGTGAGTCCGCAGTCTGCAGCACGCGCGGCGCAACAGCGCGCCGCCGGCTGCGGACCCAAAGTGACGCGCTGCAACATGTTTGAACGGCATCGGTGTCTATTTAGAAAGGAAACAGGAACCTCTGTCATGCCTAAAACACGCACGGACAGGTGCTCGCGCGCACGCGCGCACACACACACACACACACACACACACCGCAGTGAGGAGTCACGACAGCCGCACACAGACACGCCCGCGCACACAAACGCACACGCTACCTCTGTCTTACCGAACACGCCGAGCAGCAGAAGCCGCGCGCTCTCCGTGGTGCTGAAGCCGAGTCGTCCCATCGCATTCAGCTTCCCCAGCGCTGCAACGACGAGGGGCGAGATGACTGGGCAGCCTGTACTGAACCCGCGACAAGAAAAGAGAGGCGGAAAGGGGGGGGGGGCAGGCAGGGCAAGAATAGAGGGAACGAGGGAGAGAGAGAGAGAGGGAGAGAGAGAAAGAGAGAGGAGGGATTCCTCTACTCAGTGCCCGGCAGTCACGCTCAGATCACCGTGAATGCAGCAAAAGCGCATGCCTCCGGTTTGGACGTGAGGTCCGGGTTGCTGTGCGGAAGCAGCCGGTTCCGAGGAGTTCAGGCGGTCCAGAACCGAACGCCCTCTCCAAGGTTGACGGATTTGAACGCAGCTACATCAATAGCATCGGGAATAACGATCCTGGGTTTATAGGGGGAAAAAGTCCTTTCCCCTTGAATTGGCCTCTTTGTAAGGACAGTCTGGACAAGTTATTCCCGCAATGCTGTCGTCTCCATCTCCGTGGTTGCAGCTGTAGGTCGGTGCTCAAATGATGTCTGTCTGGAGGGAGCAGCCGACAACACCCCCCCCCCCCCCCCCTCCCTCTCTCAAACTCCACTTCTGCAAGGTTGCAGCTGAGTAAATGAGGAGGAGGGCTGCAGAAATCACGCACATTTTAAATATATATGTATTTTTTATTGTTCAATATTCATAGAATTGACAAATAAATAAGAGTTTAATCACGAGGGCAGAATGTGTGTATTGCTTCTCAAATCCCATTTCTGATGCCTAATTACGCACACGTGCTCAGCTGTGAGTGAAACCCCGCATTTGGAGAATAAAAGCTAAATATATTAATAATCACGTTTTCCAAATAAGCGTTCCCTCAGGCACCAATTTTTTTCATGGACCAGAGGACAGGTGTTTATCCCCATTTGAAGATTTTTTTCTTCGATTACACCCAGTGATCGAAGAGGGCGGCGGTTCTACAGAAAGTAAAGAAACCCACATCGGTAAGTGCTTTATCAATTCTTCGAGATTTTCGGCCCCCCCCCCCCTCCCCCACCCTCTGAAAAATGAGTGGCAGATGCTGCCGAACGCAGAAGCCAAAGAGCACACGGACACTAGAAGTTACACACGCGTGTCGCAGCAGCATCCAAACAGGAATCTGCTCTGCAATCCACGCACACATCACGCACTGCTGCTTTACACCCCCCCCCCCCCCCTTTTTTTTGTCTATTTAGTATTCAGTCGGTCGGGATTTCTCGCTCTGTCCTTTGGTGGAGAGCATCACTTTGTGGGATGACTTCTAGCTGCACGGATCTGGCACCGTTCTTGGCGCGTTGAGGTTGGTGGCCGATACAGATACACGCTTCTTTTCTTTTTTTACGCACGAGGCACTTTGGTTTTCACTTCAGAACCCCAAACTCGCACTTGACTGAGCTGATGCTGTCGATGCTGGGTTTACTGCCCACCAGGGGATGATTTAACCTCTGAGGGAAAGTTTCCGATCGCGGAATCCCCCCCGAAGTCAACATCGGACTCTCCGCCAACTCCTTCGCGCCGTTTTTAAACTCCGGGGAGGTAAATCGGCGTAAGAGTTTGTTGCCCAGCGTGGAGAACGCGGTGGTTGAAGTAGCGGCAGTCGGTGCCGTCAGCAGGAGGGCTTCCGCTTTGCAGGGCGACGCGTCGCGCCTCCTCACGGTTCTGGACTTCCACACGGGCACCAGCGCGCGGTCGCGCGTCACGGGGCTGAGCATGCTGGTGGGCAGACTGAACCTTTTTTCGTTCAACCTGCGCACGCCGTGATCAAACACCTTGGATCGCTCCGTCCCCGCTTCCGTTTCCCTTTTGTTGGAAGCAATCGGGGCCAGTAGGATGTCCAGGGCGGAGGGCGCGCGGGGGTTGGGTGCGTTACTGCCGGGCTGCAGAGGGAGGAGATGGTCGCCGCCGGGTTTAGGGTGCTTATGGTTTTGAGAGGGGTCGGGAACCCGCGGGGAGGCTTTGGGGTTTAGGATTTCGGAGAACACCAACGCCCGCGCAGGCGAAGAGGAGCCGCTGTTCTCTCTTTCAAACTCGTCTATCGAGTCCATCGCCGGCAACGCGCTCTGCTTCGCACGTGGTCTTGGCTGCCAGGTGCAACTCTGAACCGACAGACAACCTGTGTGATCACACGTCTGAAGGTCCCCGAGTGCGTTCACTAAATGTCCAACCCTCGTCTCAAACCCGTCCTCCCCATCGCCGCCTCCCGAACCAAGTCGCGTCTGCGCATTAGCCGCAGCGCCTCCCCCATCCTCACCCCCCCGGCCCCTCCTGGAGCCGTGAGTGAGCGCGAAGATGCACTCCGCGTGGCCGAGGAACCTCGCCACCTCGACGGCGGAGTTGCCAACTTTATTCTGCCGGTCTATCTGAAGACCCAGCCGCTTGAAAGCTCTCACCAGAAACTCCACCACGGGGGAGTGACCCGCCACGGCGGCGTACATGAGCGCGCTGTTCCCCCAGGAGTCCACGATCTCCGGGTCGGCGTTGTGTCGCACCAGGATCTTCACGGCGTCCAGGTGGCCCTTCTCGCACGCGTGGCTGAGCGCGGTGCGCCCGGCGTCGTCCCGACAGTTGACGTTGGCCCCCTTCTGCAGCAGGAGCTCTGCAAACTTACAGCGAGCCGCGTTGTCCGGCAGCAGGATGGACGAGATGAGGGGCGTCTGTGCGCTCTCCGTTCTGGAGTCCACTATTTCCCCGTCGAGCGCGTCCAGAACGAACCTGGCCAGGTGCGCTTTGTCCCGGGACATCGCCTCCAGGAGGATCTCGGTGCCCGTTTGCCCGTCGGACTTCACCTGGGCCTTGAGCATGATTTAGAAATGGACGGAAACCCTATCGGATGAATGTCATGTCTCCTGTAACCTCTCCCCCTCCCCCCCGAGCGAGTGCTGACAAAACCAACACGGTACCGGGGTTTATATGGTGGAGAGGGGAGGCCACCGGGTTGCCGGGCAACGCAATGATGGCGCTTTGTTCGTCTTTGTAATGGAAACGCGAGGTTTATAATGACAATTAGGAGCCGCCTGTGTAAATAAGAGCGCTTCTGGATATGAATTCAGGCCGCACTCGAGTGTGATTAGTCAGCGGCGCGCTTTGTTTGGGCGATGAGTGCGCGGGCGGTGCGTGTGCGTGTGCGCCGCGCTCACGTGCACGCACCCCGGCCTCCGGACGCACTCGAGCACATTTCAAACACGCGATGTTCCGAATGTCAGAAGGCTGAAGCGTTAGACCACGTTTTAATGTTGATGGAGATGAAGTCCTTGGTGATGAAGATCACTATTTGATCAGCAGGGAAATAACTGAGAGGTAAAAGGGAAAGAAACGTGACAATGTGTGAACAGACATGTAAAGGATGTATGTTGACACACTGTATTCATTCATTTTTATATTTGGTATATTATACCGGGACCTTTTTGACATAAAAAAAGACTATTTCCTTTTGACTCTTTTCTTACTGACATATTACTTTTTAATTTGACATGCTATAATAAGACCTTTTGACTTTTTTTTGCCACAGGCCTCTTTTATGACCTATTGTATTGAATAGTATGACTCTTTGTTTACATGCATGACATAGACACTTATTTCCTTTGTGACACAGTACCTTATAATTATACTTTATGACACAAGTCACACCACAACTTTCATAACCTTTAGTTCATCCTTTTTAAATGATTTGATTACATGTACCCTTTATCCATTTAAATATTCTGTCTGTCCCCAAATACCACTTAAACTTCAATAACGGTGGTGATTGATGGTTACGTGGATTGAACGATGGTGGTCTCAAATTAAAGGACTAGCAAAAACAGGAGGTTTACGTTATGGAAAAAGTAAAGAGACTCAAAATCATATTTTAAAGAAAGACAAATGAACCACGGCGTTATGTCCCATTTTACACCTGGATTTATTGGTACACATACTATAAAACAGTATTAAAGGAGCTGGATAACAACAGTATTTTCATTGCTTTGAGTTCAACAATACAATATAAATACAAAAACACGCACAGGATGGTTTGTTGACGAGCTACAGTTCAAATAGAAAACAAGAGGGAGATACAATAGAAACTGAGGAAATCAAACCGGTGACTTGCACTGCAAAAATAATCAGCTTTTCTGAGACAAAGGTTACATTTAATCACATAACAGAAACATTCAACTAGTGCAAAAAAGCCTCTAACGAACAGAATAATCTTAAACTACACTATATCTAATATATATATTCATTTATATATATATATATATATATATATCTTCATATAAATAACCCCTTAATTTGGCATTTCGTCATTCATAAAATAATTTTACCATCCTAACAGACACCGAGTGGCACATTTGAAAGCGATGGAATAAAATTTAAAAGCACTTTTTACTTGTTAATCTCTGCACTAGATATGTGGTGAGAGCGTTATACTGTGTTGTGTGGCGCAACGAGGGCACAAAAAAACAAAACCGGGACAAACGGAACAAAGACGAAACCCAGCGGTTTGATAAATGTCTTTCCCCCGACATCCAGCGGCGCCACCGCGTCCCCGGAGCCCTTTATGACAGAACACGGCGGGTCGAACAGTAAATCAGTCTACGTACATTCCAGTATTTACAATATCCGCCCGTCTACCCTTTGATGGGACACAGCAGAATAATACAGAAAGGCCCGAATACCTCAAGGTGCTTTTATCCCCATGTTTTTAAACCATCACTTTTGGTTGTTGTTGTTGTTGTTGTTGTTAGTGGTGCGCCATGCAACGATAGTGCCGGACCATATGTGCACAAGTGTCGATACTCAAAAGGATTACTTCATAATAGAACTTTCTTTTTGTTTTCTCCCTTCACCACGGTGCTTCTCTGGTGGGGATCAGGTTCGGGGTCACAGGCCCGGGCGGACGCGGCGTCGTGAGAAACGCGGCGTCATTCAGTCCGACGTCCCCGAGGAGGATGAAGAGCTGAGGACGAAGAGCCGAGGCTGCTGCCGCGCAGTCGAGGAGCTATTAAGGGAGCACTTTGCTTGGTCAATGCCTTTAAGGAGCGGGAGAGCGACTTCTCAAGCTCTCGTCTGGTCACATGACACAATGCATTACCGTGGAATTACTGGGCGCCAAATCAAGAGCCAATTCATTTTGTTTCATTCTATCCATCTTAACCTTTGAATTTACTGCAGATAGTTCCCTTTATTATATCACCATATTTTCATTTTTTTTTTTACTCCTTTTGGTCGCTCTTTTCTGTATTTTGTACACCTTTTAACCTCTGGTGGGAATCGTGATTTCTTTTTGCATAGTCTACACGACTGAGCCCAAAATGGCCGTCACGCCACTTTCAAGTAGAAGTTTATGACTGCGTAGTGGCCACGAACAAAGCCAGCATCCATCCCATCGTGATCCCTTTATAGTCTTCTGACTCGGCAAAATAAAAAGCCTTTTATATATATTTGGCTTTTACATGGACACAGAAGTCATATAACTTCATCGCGGTGGCTCCGGGCTTCGTCCTTCATACGCTGATTATTAGTTTTAAATACATTCTTACTGAAGACAGAAAACCTACAGTAGTGCACTGCTACATGTTCCACGTGGTTATGATGCCTATACGAGGTGCTCAGGACGGGACCCCTGTGTAGTATACAGTGTATTTCACAAAGAGTTTATTAATTTGTGCAGACATGACATTAAATCTCACACGTATTCTTTTCCCCTCTTCCAAACTACTTCTTCGACAATAATAAAAATTAAAAAAAAAAAGTAAAGTCTGTGAATGCGCGTGTCTGTGGGCGTGTCTGTGGGCGTGTCCAACAATAGCTGCAGCTTGTGAGGATGCAGAGAAGATTGAAGATGACAGAACATCTAGAAAGGTACATGTGACTGTGTGTTTTCTCACTTTGGTCTCAGTGGTTAAACCCCGTGACCGTGGTTAAGCACCACGGCTCAGCGGCGTGACGCCAGGTGAAGGTCAGAGGGCCACTGTGTGTGTGTGTGTGTGATAGAAATACTCATAGCGATGCAGGCAGGGTTAATGTCTGCGGGTTGTAGAGGGCTTTATGCGGCAGAGTGTTTGTGCGTGAACGTTTGTGTGTGTGTGTGTGTGTGCGTGCGCTCTCCTCTCTCAGCGTCAGTCGCTCACACCACCGTGGCAGGTCTGCGGTCCATCTCCTCCTCCAACTTCACCATCTGCTGCATGTCCCTGGCCTTCAGATGGACAGAAGACACTCAGGCACACGGCATGCAGACGCGTAGCACTCGTGGAGGAACCACATTTAGTCTTCAGTTTGATCATTAAACGCTCAGCTCGGAGTGCTAGCAGATCACTTCCTACTTCTACGCTCTTCTCCTCGCGTCACACACGTAAAACAAAGCCCATTTTTAAGTGGGACTCTGTCGGATGCTATGAAAGCAGATGATTGGAGCCGGAGTGAAGGCCCAGCGGAGCGGATTTCTGCTTAGCAATAGCTGGTGAGTCACGGTGACAAATGACTCCAGCTGCTCGTTGGCACCCTGAGAGCCGCAGACTACTAATGTGGGAAAAGGGATTTCACAACACAAAGAAGGAAGAATGAATCACTTTTTCTTTTGTTTCTTTTTTTTTTAAATGTCAAATCTCTTGAAAAGGCAGATTTGTCGTGGACTACGTCCTTCCTTCACTTCAAGAATTACAGTGATTATAGAGGTCACTTAAATGGCAGGAAAACACTGATTTAACAGGCTGAGCAGAAACCTGAGGATGTGAAGCAAAGGAGTGACACGGGGGGAGACAGGGGGGAGTGCGATGGGGAGACCTACCTTGAACCTGTTTGTTTGCATGGTGTGATTTCAAAAGCTGTGCCGGAAAAAGCAAATCATATTAAAACAAATGAATATGTGCGTTTAGGTCACAGAGGGCAGCAGATGGCAAAATGAAATGTACAGATGGAGGCCGTCGCACGACACGTGACCTTTACTTTTTTCAACGTCTAAACTCAGTTATTAATTCATAAATACTTGAAGAGCCATCGTGCATTTAGACTCTGACTCATTCTGAGCAGCTTTGTGGGACCTGCTAAACTAATTACAGTTTTTCGTTTACTTTCGTTTACACTTAAAAACCCAGTGGGGCTCAAAGGACCATAAAGCCAGAGATGCTCTGGTTTATACAGGAAGTGAGCAGCTGAGATGGAGACATGCAAGTTCTTTTCGGTAAGTTCTTCTAAATATTCAGTGTATCGTCTGCAGAGTCGAGCTTCTTTTGTTCGTCCTACCTGCTCGTTGAACTTCTCCAGTTTATCCAACTGCTCTCGCTGGTTCTTCTCTAGCTGCTCCATCTCCTTCTGATGCTTCATGGCCAGCTTAAAGAAGAACGGGGAAAAAGATTACAACCATTGTGTACCTATGTAATAAACGTTTGTACGGCATCAATCCATTCTGCGATAAAGGAGGAGGATAGTTCATTGAACACAAACCGACCCGCTTCCTCTCATCCAGGAACTTCTTGGTGTTGCTGCTGTTTAACTCTCGTACTCTCCTGAAGAGCACAAAGAGCGGCGTAAACAGTGGCACATGCCTGCAGACGGAGGCAGCGTGTTCTATGTATGCGGAGCCCACCTCTCTCTCTCGGCCTTGTTTTTGATGGACTTGTCCTGGCTGATGGCTTTGCTGTTCTCCATGGACATCTTGGCCTGGTTGGCGCGCATCTCTTTGCTCTGCCTGGAAATTGGGGAAGAAAAAACGTTGCAAATGAAGCGTACGTACATGCATGTAAATGAGTGCGACGTGCATTGAAACCCACCGTTCGTGGATGAGCTTCAGCTGCGTGGTCTGCTGCTCCTGCACGGCGGTCAGGAGCTTCTTGAGGTGTTCGCACTGCTGCGTGACGTGCGCGTCCTTCAGGCCCTGCTCCTCGCCGCTGTGGCCGCCGAGCAGCTCGGACCACTCCTTAGTGTGCAGCGCCGTGATGTCCTTCACCTGCCAACGGACGCACACGAGATCCACATCCGAGCCACCAATGACCGCAGCGGTTGGCGGGTTCTCTGGGGTGAGAGGTTGTGCGTTACCTTGACTTTGTGGTCGGCGACCAGTGTTTGGATCTTATCCTCCGTCTCTTTCTTGAGCTCTTGGCAGTTGTTTTCTCTGTGAGCAGAAAACAAATACATGTAAGTGGTTATTTAAACAGCAGATTCAAGGAGGCCTGTCTGGTTGATCACAAGCTGAAGCCCCCCTGGGATTTGCTTCCCTTTTAACTCACCCTCTCTTCTTGATGGCCTTCTCCAACAGCTTCTCCAGGGTGGTCTTCTCCTTATCGTGCTGAGACACCATCTTGTCTACCTGGGTGCAGTGGGACTTCTGCATTGTGGTTTGGTCCTATTGGGGGAAGAGAGAACATGTGTTAGGGAAATATTTGTAACCTAAACCAAAACTGCATCAACCTCCTCCATGAACAGAAATTAAGACTAAAATAAATATAATTTCAAAGCGATGATCTTAAAAGAACACATCAATATGTTTTATATATATTGTCTCCATTCAGCCTGGATGCTTCTATTATACATGGGTTACGCAATAGGACTTAATACTATGCTAATTATTGAGCCAGCCGTCTGGATGCACATTGTGGGGCCTCAAAGGAACAGCGACTTTAGCAAGTCTAATACAGCATTAATTATGTGGTCGCATTTACACATGTTTGTGATGAACAGATTGTGTGAGCGGCTGGACACAATGATGAACCCGTGGTCGGGGGAGATGAAAGGTGGAGCTGGTGGAGCATCAATGAGGCTCCACAATGCGCATCCAGACGGGTCGGCACTGAAACTCTCACCCACCTTTGACTGTTTCTTCTTCAGGCTGTTGAGCTCCTTCTGCTGCTTTTTTATCAATTTCAGGTACGTCTGCAGCGGGAGAGAAATGCATTTATTGATCTTGTGAAGGTCACGTTGAGAATCAGTACTGAGTAAAGCAGCATACGGTAATTATTACATCCCTGTAGGTTACAAAGCAAATGTTTAAAGCGACCGTTCCTTTTGTTGTAGGGTTGAAAAACACTAATATCACCATCTAGCAATAACTCTGATATATCGTCTACTAATAGAAGCATACGTTCTTGGTACATAAATAAGAAACCATTTATAAATGTCCTAAAGGTGTGTTGTAGTGTTATTTTACCAACCTTCATCAGTTTTAGGTCGTCGATGCTGACATTAGGCACCAGTGTATTATCTGAAACAGCAGGAGAAAAGTGAAAGTTTAACTCCGTGTGTCCGTTTTGTACAAATGTTACCTGCGATGCTTTGAGCGTTCACCTTTCTTGGTTTCTGCCGTGTTATTCTGGGCGGAGTTGGAGGTGTGGGCCATGTCGGAGCTGGCCTGAGGAGTCACGCTGGCCTTCACGGTGTCTCCTTTGCCTTTTCCCTTCTTGTCGTTCTTCGAGCTCCCGCTGGGGACGTCCGCTATGTCGTTCTACAAACGGGGAGCAGTTCATTTAGTCGGTGAAGGACACGGTTTCTATTCAACCAGGTACAAGTCTTCAAACTGAGGCTTCGGGTGTGTGCGTTGGTGGTCACGTGTACCGTGTCGATGCCCAACGCCTTCATCTGGTCAGCTCTTTTTTCCGCTATGGTTAAGAACTTCTTGGGGTCCGACAGGGCGTCCACGATGGCTGAAACACACAAAGCCGTCTGCTAGCATCGCGAAGGCAAAAAGAACAGATTCGTTGATGAATCCGTGGGGCGAGGGAGGTCGAGCCGAGGCGATAAATGACTTCCTCATTGTGCTGAGGGAGTGTGCTGACTAGTCAAGCTGGCGACGGGCTAAAATGCAGCTCGGTAAAACGGTTTCTAGGAAGGTGGATTCTTTTTGAGCCCCTCGTTGCTGTGTGCTCGGCAGGCAAGTGATTCCAGCAGCAGATCTTATGCTAATGGTTCCAGTAATGGATCCTCGGCGCGAGCCCCTTGGCTTTATTTAACGACAACTTCAATTGTCCTCCTCATTTTTATGCTCGTGCCTGTTTTAAACTGTATATTACTGCAGACTCACTGTCATCATCATTTGCACCATGCCATTACTCTGAATGTTCAAACCAACTCAAGGCTGAGAGAGCGGGAGAGAGAGATACCCAGCTTGCCTTCTCTCCTCCCTACGGGCTACGGAGACAACTTTATTATCAGCTAGGAATAAAGAGAGAAATAAAACAACGTGGCAGCGTGAAACAAAACGCGTATTTCTGCAGTAAGACGTCGTAGAACAAAAACAAAAAGCAATACACATCAAGTTGCGTAATTACTGTTCCGCGTTGGCCTCACCTCCGAAGCCGTCGGGCACGTACGTCTTGAGGATGATTTGGCAGAAGATGGTGGGCAACGACAGCGGCTTGTTGCCCTCGTTCCTCAGCGAGATGTGACGGTAGCCGGCTTGCAGGCCGTCCAGAGGCAGGAGGCGCTGGCCAATCAGCTTGTTGTTGTCGTCATAGACGCCGATGCGCAGCACTGCCAAATCCGGTAAGATCACCTAAGGGAGGAGAGGGAGAGGGGGGGGGGCAATAAGGGAAGGTGCAACAGAAAATGAGTGGGTTTGGGGTGAGGTCGTCAGCCACGTGGCATTCCTCCTCACAGTGTGGAAATAAACAAACTACTTTGCAGCCGTTGCAGTAAAACGGCGCCACAAGGTCAAGGATGAAACTGCAGGGACACTATCAGAGGACAGTGGGAGACGGGCCGCGTCAGAATAGCTTGTGTGCACACACCCGGGGGGGGGAAAGAAGGGAGCGAGAGCCTCAACTGGCCTCGAGTGTGGAGATAAGTGAACGGCAAGAAGGAAGGTGATTAATACGCGGACCAAGCGGAAGGTAAGCGATAAGCCCGGAGAAGACTCGCCAGAGATGAATGGCTGGAAGCTTCAGGCGCGCCGCCGGTGCGTGTCGCTCGCCCCGAGTCATCTCGACAGTTGCGTGAATGCAAATAGGTGTGCCAATATCCGAGGGCATTTGTGTCTCTTGGAGTGCGTGTAGAGATGTGAGAAGGGATGCTCCTCCGATAGCGCCGCGTACGTCTGTGTGTGTGTGTGTGTGTGTGTGTGTGTGTGAGCGGAGCAGCACTGCGGCAGGCTGTGATTGATGGCGTGTGTTAGGAAGCTGGAGTCACAGTCATGGCTGAGAGACTCCTCGTTCTGCTGAGAGCAGCACTATTACACACACACACACACGTTTCTTTCACTTTCACACTATATCTCTAATCGCTCTCTCTTCCTCATGCCCATTTGTTTCTCTTCCCTTCCTCAGAGTGTGCAGCTCCAATCATCACGAGACCTTTGTTTCTCCTTCTCTCCTTCTCGTTTTAAACTCAGATTTCCTCACAGCATTCCACTAAGTGGAGCTCTTTTGTTTCGCCACACCGGATCAGCATCCTCCTCGGTACCTTTCTGAAGACGAAGGGCTCCTCGTTGTAGGCCGGGTTCAATCCGTTGTTCATCACCATACGTGTGCGGAACTCCTTGCGGATGGTGTCGGTCGGCAGCCCGTACATGTCCACCTCAACGTACGTGCCGATCTTCTTGTCCGACAAGAACTGTCCAGAGAACACCTGCAGCAAGGAGGAGGACGGCATTAGGAGTCGTTTTAAAGCTGTGGATCTCACAGGAGCATTATTCAAGTTATTCTCTGCAAATATTGTGTTGATTCATTCATTCGTGCAAAATCCCCGTGATTTCCGGCAGGTTTATCGGATTAAACGGCGTTGTTGTCTGAGAGCAGCTGACCTGTACGCTGCAGGTTGCAGCGATTACTCCGTCCACAGGAGTCTCTGAGAACGGGTCAAACATCCTGTCCGACCGCCGCATGAAGTCGGGCTTCAGCAGGTACCTGAGGCGTGCGCACACACACACACACGCACACACACACACACACACACACAGATGGAGATGAAGCAGGACAACGCACAAAAACATTAAAATGCCTTTTAGGTTAAATGTGGGAACAGTGATGCTCATTAAATAGTGTTTCTACACTTCAAGCTCAAGCAGTATCGGAGTAAAGAAGGTACTGAGGCTTCATGTGTGGGAGCGTGAACCCAGGAACCAGCGCAGTGGCATTACTAATAATGGGTGTCTGCACAAGCCCTGATCTTCCCACATATTAGATTTCCGGCATTAGCAGTAAAATCTCTGGCCTCAGGGACGGTATTAGAGCCGAGGGACGCAGAAAGGAAGAGATGGATGACTGCAGAGCCCCTCCGAGGAGCCCGCTTCCCCCAAAGCGCCCATTGGATCTCGTGGCAGACAGTAGATACGGTCGCCGCTGGCAACCACTAATGAGATGTGACAAGCTTTAATTGATGAGCTTTCGGAGAGGGGGAGGAGGAGGGAGGGATGGAAATGAGCTAAGGACAGAGGAGCGGTTCTCACCCGCAGGAGCCGTTGTACTCGTACTTTCCCTGGTTCAACTGCATGGCCAGATCTGACGGGGAGAACGAAAGAAGAGTTTAAAAATGCTCATATTTCTCACACAGATATCAAACCATAAAACAATTAAGTTCATTTGCATTGATTTCTGTGGAGCTTTTTCTTTGTTGGAAGAGGTTTTTTTTTTATATTTGTCCTCACAACTCTCTCTCTCCCCTTTTCTCCCTCATGAATTCTCCCTCCATCACAGAAGCTCCACCTCTTGAGTCACCCCCCCTCTAGGCTCACACATGCTCATCTCCCAGCAGGCCATATGGTCGGCCCCCGTTTGCCTCTGGCCATGGGGCAGCAGCTGTTTTACAACAGACATCACTCACTGTGTAGGTGTGTATGTGGCAGCGGCAGTTTATGAAAGTGTGTGTAGAAGAGATAATCAGGGAAAAGTAGCTGAAGTGGAGCAGGAGGTGTGTGTGTGTGTGCGCATGCACCTGTTCAGGTTTATGCATGCATAACCTGATGCTGCAAAATGACATGCAAACGATTGCAAAAACAGGAACCAATCCGTGCTTTATCTCCACAGGTGTGTGCGTATAAAAGACAGAATGGCCACAATACTGCTAATGCTAAATTTGCCTAAACGTATGTGCATACACACACACACACACACACACACACACACACACACACACACACACACACACACACACACACACACATATATATATTTTAGGTAATGTAGCACAAAATAGCTAATGCTAAAGATAGCATTGGGATGCTACACTCACTCAAACACTTATTTAGAGACTCAGTTAAACCGAATCAGTCAAAACCAGAGATCTTAATGTGTTCAGTTCTCATTGGAATCTAGTTTTGAATCCAAATACTCTTTAATGTTAATGTGTAGAAGAACACCTCCTAATACTAGCATTAAGTGAGAACATGTGTTCTGGTGAACGTACAGACCAACAGTAGAAATGTCCTCATTATTCTCCGCGTGTGTGCGTTTGGCCTCGGCCGCTGTGCGATGCATGGATTTGTGAGGTCACAAGAAGGCTTTCTGTGTGCTGTGCTGTTGGATACGCACACGTGTAACATGTTTCTGCTGCAGTGGACTACTTGATATGTGTGTGTGTTGAGGTCACAGGTCCCATGTTGTGTGCTGTGGTACCTGGGGTCTGGAAGTTGAGTGAGACCATCTGGCAGCCTGCGTTCCAGAAGATCTGAGGCATGTAATTACTGGAGTCCACCCGGCCCCCTTTGGGGTAGATACGGCTCATCTGACGCTTGTTGTAGCTGCACTGACGCTCAGGAAAATAAAATAAAAAAATAAGAACAAAAAAATAGAGATGGAGAGCATGTGTGTTCCAAACAGACTGTAGGGCTATTTTTAGTGGGAACAGCTTGGGTCAGGCAGTCCCATTGGGGAGGCAGAGAGAGAGAGGGGGGAGAGAGAGAGAGAGAGGGGCAAAGTTTGTGTGAATGTTTGTGTCAGGTCGAGTCCCGGTCCGAAAGCACGCTGGCCTCCAGAGTCCGCCAGTGACAAACAAACATTCATTGAGATGACCTGGATCTACTAACAGACAGCTCCGCACATGAAAAGTGTACATCTCATTAGTGGTGATCACAACCAGAACACCCAAGGTGTTAATTAAAGCGGGTAACGTGAATGGAAAAACTAAAGATGATCATCTTTAAATCAGCAATTCCTCTTTTTCTTTTAGGAGTTATCTTGGGATTCAGTGGGGTTTTTTTTAGCCTTGATCTGAAGCCCAAAGGATACTTGACGAACTCGATGGCGTTGGTCTTCAGATAGCCCAAACCGACGGACTCGTTAAAGGACGACATGTTATGGTGGATGTTCCTTTCTGAGAGACAGGAGAAAAGGGAATGAGAACGAATAAAGTCAGTCCCAAATTATCCGTGAATTCATGAACAAGAAGCAGAAGGATCAAAGTAGAAATACATTGGGAGGAAGTCAAAGCCACTCACCCTCTGCCACATCGAAACTCTGGAACTTGACGGGCTGAGCGTAGTTGACCATCGCTGAGAGCCACGGGTGGATGTTAGTGGTGGCTCCTACGTAAGTGTACTGAGCGATCAGAGCCTCTTCAGAGTCCTCCGGCTCTTCTACAGCCTGCAAGGGTCAGTTCGAACAAACGCCACGTAAAGCGATGCATTTATCCAGACATGACGTAGGTTGTGTGTGTGTGAGTGAGTGAGTGCAGTCATGTGCTCACCTTCTTGTTATTGTCTTGGTCAGATGCTTCTGAGATATCTGTGGCGTCTGTCGCTTCTGTGGCTTCAGACATCTCCGTGGCTTCATCGTCCGGCACCTGGAAACACAAAGATCAAACACTCCGGACAATCGTTCTCAAATGGCAGAAAACAGATCCAGGCACTGGATGCCCGCTCTCTTGGTCGATGCCATGGATATGATTCATTTCAGCATTTCACTCACCTTCTTGATGCTGTTGCGTTCGTCTTTCGTCAGGCTGACGGCGTTACTCTTGGAGACGCTATTGGCCTCTTTCTCAGCGGTCGCCTCTGACAGACTGCTGACCGCCTCTGAATTCAAGTCCTTGTCCTCCGCCTCCTTTTCTCCTTCACACGCAAAAATACAGACATTTAGTTAGCTCAGATCTTCTACTAAAGTGAGTATTGGTGGTTATTTCTGCATGGCTTGATGCATTGTTTTTATTCGGACACACTGCAACACTAATCTTATTTTAGAGTGTGCACTTCACGCAGCGCTTAAGATTTCTAAAGATGTTCTTTAACAATGGGATCTTTATGAAATCAAATGAATAGACATTCAAATGAGCGTTCGCCTATCGGTTTCTGTTCGAAGGATCAAAAGGATTAAAAGGTTACACGTTGTGTACAAAAAAGACACACGGCTGTTGAGCTGACCGTTCTCTGTGTCCTCTTCATTCTCTTCTCCCATAATGATGGCGGGGGTGTTTGTCTCTCCTGCCTCCATGTGTTTCTTGAAGGCTTCTAGCTGCTCTGTATGACACACACACACACACACACACACACACGTTAATCCAATAAACCGTAATATGAGCCGACATCGAACTATTTCACAGACGTTTACGTACTCTGTTCAACTTCAGGTTTCAAGCGTTTGTTTTTGATGAGGATTTTGCGTTTGAGGTCATTTGGAGAGGGTAAGGGGCGTCCCGCTTCAATCTGCCAAACGGAACGCGATCACACGTTTAAATGTAGAGGGCCATTATCCGCATGCGCTCAACTCAGAGAGGCTGTGGACCAGAGGCAGTATTTACCGGGTAGTTTTCCAGAGGCTGTTTGAGGAGAAAGTCACCGAAGATCTCCTCACAATACTTGGCCATCTTGTACTGCTGTGGTTTACTGGTGATACACAAACACGCAGAAGGACATAGAATGCATAGAAACGGTAAAACCATGTGCATTAACAGTCTTAAACATTACTAATTGAACACATACCTGCAATGGTTTTCAAAGGACAAAATAACCGGATAGTCTGAGGTGACGAAGGCCGTCTCTTTGATGGCTTGGATAACATCCTGTTGGAAGAAGAGGAAAGTAAGAAGAAGAATTAAAAAGAGGGAATGCGAGAGGACAGAACTGTAACATATGCAATGTCATACTCTGACCACAAGGGGGCAGGCACGCCCTGTGCAAAGAAAAGACTCAACTGTGTGTGTGTGTGTGTGTTCACCTTGAACAGGATGTCTGTACACATAGCTTTGCCATGAGTGATTATGGGCTCCTGGTCCTCGCCTTTCCCATCCCAGCAGTCCAGCTCCACACATCTGACCCCATGGAAAGCACACAGAATCTGTTCATGCACTGCAGGCGTCCGCTCTGTGTGTGTGTCTGTGTGCGATGTCCGCTGTGTGCGTTCTCACCGGCACCCTGACAGCAGCACCTGCCGGTACATCTCTACCGAAGACTTTCCTCCAAACTGGCGCCCGTTCAGGTAGGTGTTGTGGGAGGAGCTGATGAAGTAGTGGGCCAGGGGCTGCTCCATGTCCTGGTACAGCTCCAGCCGGTCCAAGAAGACTGGAGCGTTCTCGTCTGACATCAGGTACCGGCAGAACCCATCGCTGGACATGCATGCTGGTGGGGGCCGAGTTAAGAGGAATGAGGATGAACTTTCTCAAAGGAAAGCAGAAAATCATCTGTATTTGTGAATTAAAGTAGAGTTTAAATAAAACATTGTGGATATTTATAATTTTCTGGATTTACATTGAGAACGCTCTCATTCATCTTTAATTGCAACATGTGCAGAATTCAGTCTCTAATTGTAGAACACTGGTTGCATGTTGCATTGAATGTAGCGAGGTTTCTCTGGTCAGCATGTTTTTTAAGGATTAGCACCAGCAGTCAACGCCTTGCTTCTCTGCTCCTGTCGTCATCGTGACAACTTAAAAGAGGCTGATGATCTATTTAAGCAGAAAACGACAGCAGTCTGACGCTGCAGAGCGTGGTTGCAGAGGTACACATGCAGGTGGCAGCACAGCCTCACAGGAAACCTCTCCAGGCGTCTCTACCTTTCTTCTTCAACTCTTCGTCCCTCTCGTATTTCTCGATGATCTGCATGGCTCTCTTGGGGTCGTAGAACGGGAACAGGATCTCGTTTAACCGAGGGTCCCGCTGATTCTGAGGAGCAACACGCACAAAGACACACACACACACGCACACGGGCGCTCAGTCAGCATGTATTTAGATTTACATCTTCCACTGACACACAGGACGGGGGACGACTACAAACGGACATTTCCTTAATTTGAGTTAGCAAAGTCAATCAATACAGTTAATTGTACTACTGGTGGAATGGAGAGCACTCCGGTACGAACAGGGCGAAATGTAATTATGGGATGTTCAAAGGAAGCTGTGAGCCACACTAACAGGTGCAGTGGTGTGCTTACAAGCGAGGAAGCTGCACGTGTTGCAGAGGTTTAACAAAAACAACAACAACAACATCCTCATAGCGCCGGTGTCCACCCACAAAGCCACTCGGGAATTTGACCTCTGGCTCCGTGGACGGTTGCGGCGGCCGCGAAGCAGCACGCGCGCAACTGCACAGCGGAGGCGACCGAGCAGGTATTCATCCAAACAGAAGGGCACGGCCACAGAGAACGGACACGGGCACCAGGAAACGAGATGAGCCGAGCAGGAACCACCAGGACGGGGAGGGGGGGCGGGGGGGGGAAAGAAAAAAACCCTTCTACCGTCCGGTTGCCATGGCAACACCAATCAAGAGTAGAGGAGGAGAAACGCCGCGCCAGGGAGAACGCGGGGAATGGGATGCGGGCGGGAAGGCGGCACACGGGGAGCCGGTTGAAGTTGCCCTTGCAGGAAGGCTGGAGGTTAAACACTTTCTCCACCTCATTATTGGACTTTTAATGAGGGTCTGCTGGCTCCCAGTCCACAGGGCAACTTCTACCCAGAGCAGGAGGGTTGGGGTGTGTCTAGGGGGGATGGGGGGGGGGGCATAGCAGGGGGCGTTGCGGAGAGGGGGGCGCGAGCAAGCAACACACAGGGAAGTTAATGAATGATAAAGAGCTTACTTCATTCAGAAAGCTGACTAACTGATCTACAGTTAAATAATCAGTTTTGTTCCCATTGCTGCAAAGGAATTAATTAGAAAAAAACAGAACAATGTTATGCCTCTTAAAAGAACAGACATCCTCTCAGTCATTCACACAGTCCGTCGGTCAAATTTAGCAAGCAGTCTTTGCAAAGTGGATCATACTTAAATGTTACACGTTTAGTAATGGTCACTCATAATTAATGTTGAACTGTGGAAGCAGGTTAGGTTGTCCAGACATTGTTAGTGCAGCAGGAGCAGAAACATTTGACTCTTTCCAACGGGACGGATTGTCATTGTTGTATTTAAGCAGAGGGTAACGTAGCTGTAAACAATGTGAGGGTGCTACGGTTCTATTCTCTATTTGGAGGATTGATCACGGGTATAAAATCAGTTAACAGGCAGGTTAAACAGAGGACACTCACATTTTCTTGAAGAGTTCCTCTATGTCCGTGCGGGGACAGATCTTCTGTGTGAGCAGGTAGAAGATGTCGTAGGTGAAATCTGACGGTTCGATCTCATCGTTCTGTGAAAGATAAACAAATGGAGCTGTGAACCTGCAGCGGCGGTGATTGGTGGAACCGCTGCAGTCCCTCAGCTGTCTGACCTTTCCACTCGGCAGGCCGAGATCCTTCAGAGCCTGGAAGATCCCCTTCTCCGTTTTTCCTGATGCAAATGTTCGAGTAATGCTGTGAAAACGAGAGGAAGGCGGAGGAGAAGCGAGAGGAAGTATTTAATTTGGATGACTGGTCAGCTGCTTCTGCTATTGGCATCTTTGGGGATGTGTATTCATATTTCTTCATCTCCGGAAAAACCACTGAAATGGAACCAGTTAGAACAAATTGCCGAGGACATCCTCCATTGTTCCGTCCCAGATGGTCCGATGGCCAAAGCGGGCTGTGCTGCCTCTGGTTGGAAGTTAAATATCCCATTCGTTCACCCTTACCCTCTCACAGGAATCTTCCCATTCACATTGGTCAGGAAGCACATTCTCATCCAACTAAAGGGGAGTCCAATAAAAAAAAGCACAAGTCAGAGAAATGGCTGGATTTTATTATTATTTTTTACCAGAATTATTGTGAAAAAAAAACAAGCTAAAGCACGATTGTTGCAATTACAACTCACTGCTTCTTGAGGCAGGTCATTGGACAGACGTTGTTGGCTTTAAAGTTGTGAATGACGGAGCGCAAACCCTCGATCCACTTCTGCAAACGGTACAAGAAGCAGCATCAAGTCTCGCTGACAAACCACACGCGATCGCACCTCGTGTTTACAGGAGAGTGTCTTCGGGGAGATAAACACAAGCAAATGAACGGCCTCTTAATTCACACACGCGGGCGAGTGCCGCGAAGGGACAATCGGGACCACACACACACACACACAGACACACACACACGGGAACGCACACACAGCGGGCTGGCCGTTGAAAGTCCACAAGCAGGGGCGATAATCGGAACATGTTTGACGCCTCCGCCTTTCCCTCTCCGATCGTAACTCTGTGTCGGTCCTCCATCGTTATAAAAACATTAAACAAGATAAGGCTGCAGGGGGGAGTGTGGTCGCGCATGTCGCCCTGTGTGTTTGTTTGTGAAGATGTAAATAACTCCCGTCATCTCCCGAGGTCTGCTGCTCGGGGCCACCTGCATGCTGGGAGGTGGTGGTGGGCTCATGTGTGTGTGCAAAAGAGACGGCAGGGGACAGAAATGACAGGAATGAATGTGTGGAGGACAAGGATTTGAACCTGTATATGTGTGTGTGTGTGTGTGTCATTGGCAGCCCTGTGGCAGGGAGCTCTCCAGTGCGCAAACATTGCTCATAACACCAATCAGCACAAAGACACTCTCATGATGCACAAACACCAACTCTGAAACAGACCTGTGCCGCCACAAAACATTCGCAGTTGGGTTTGAAACTGGCTGAGATTCTGAGTCGGGGGAGGTTTTATGTGTGACATTTTAATAGATTAACAAATAAAAATAGAAATGGCTCACTGCTCGAAGCGACTCTTAATCAATCTGGTTGTGCTTTTATTACAGCCGTCTGGCTCTGCGTGCGTCTCAGCTCCTAATAATAATAATAATAATACATTTTACTCTTCATCAGCAGATCTCAGAGTGCGACAGAGATGGTAAAACATAGTTAAAAATAAAGTAAAAGCTAGTAAAAACATATGCACCCTGATGGAGAACCATTGAGGATGACATCAACCGGACGTATATATGGAAATCCATTTCAGCAACTATTTCTACGTTATTCCAATCCCAAGGATGAGAAACATGACACCCTCGAAAAGTTTCCCTAGTGATTTTTCTTGTTCTTTAAATTGCTGCTAAGCCTTTGGGCCACACTGGATTTGTCACGAAATAGAAGATAGATGCTCTTTTAAAATGACTTATTTATCTTTGCCAAAGAAAATAGTTTCAAATCTCATATTGTGAGTACTACACCACTAATGACAGCTCATTGGTTCATCTGAGAAGTGTAATGCTTCAAAAGCGGATCAATTCAGCTCCGGGAAGTTGAAACTTAATCTGCACATAGATTGTTTATTGTGGGCTGAACAGGATGCTCATCAATAATAATGTCTGCTGATTAAAAAAAAGAGAGCGGGGCGTCGTCCGTCTGAGCCCAAAACAAAAATGGCAGGGATGAGTCAGAAAAGAGAGAAATGAGATAACGAGAGGTGCAGCCAATTAGGCAGTCAGATTTCTCACAGATGTACGAAGAAAAAGAGACGGAGAGAAAGACAAAAATGACTTTTAAAAAAAACAGCGGAAGTGCAGGAGGCACAACAGAAATATCAGTCTATTTATCAGAGTGAATCAACGCTGCTTTGTGTAGGAGTTGAACCATTCACCTGCTAATGTGCTCTGTTTCTGAAAATGTTTGCCGTGTCAGGGTTCTTCTATCCTGTATCCTCCTATATTTACATATATGTATGTGTATGTCTACATATGTGCTACACAGAGTTCTGATTTGTATTTTATTGTCTTAGTTGTGGAGACCCGGTGGATGCAAGTATCTACCCTGGCTGTGTCGGGGCTCTCCGCCACCATGAACATGAAGTTGAGGTTGACCAGGTCGGTGCCGCTGCAGATGCAGATGATGCAGCCCTCCAGGTCCGCCTCTGTCTTCCCGATGGCCTCGAATGACGACAAGATCTTGGGGTCCTGAGAGAAAAAGAGAAGGCGAGCTGAGTGAAACGCAGTCACATTCTCTGTGGGCTCCGATGCCGAACCGATTGGTAGTCTGTCAAATCAGGCAATACCAGGATGTCCTAGTGCAGAGAGTCCTTGTGACCCACAATCCTCTGTGCAGCAAACAGCATGAGCGAGGTGGTCGGGTTCAAGGTGAAAGTTGTGCGTTTGTGTCTGTCGACAATAATACCAAAGAGACTTTTGACTGAGAAACCTCAATGTCAACATTTATGACAGATTTTGTCCTTTATGCTGTTATTTAAACATTTTTAGAGCAATATAATTGACAAAAACAAACTTGTGCTTTGGACATAAGGTTTCTATTCAACGCACAGTTTGTTAATGAAATGCACGTCTGCACAGGAGCATCACGATGTCTAAGATCTGGGGACAAAACAAAGTAAAGCAGCGGATCGACCGATTCAACGTTACCTTGACAACCAAAAGAGAATAACAAAAAGCAGCAAATGCAGACCGATATGGTAATGATAAAGCACATAATGAAAAATCACATTAGCAAATGTGCAAGATATGCGAGATGTTGTATTGAGCCCATCCAGCCACTGATGATCTGAGTGCTGCTTGTACTGCACGAGCTTCACAGGAACATAAAAGAGAACCTCGCTTTGGTTTGTTCCTGAAAATACAGAAACAGTCTTTGGCTTTATTTTGTTCCCCCTACAACTAAACCAGCATTATGCAAAGACAAAAGTCTGCAAAGCTGCATGGTAGAAATCTAAATTACTTTATAAGGCTGTAAACTCAAGGGCAATAAGAATATTTCACCAATGTTGAAGAAGTAAACGGTGCGATTCACGCTAGGTTTTTGACATCTCTATAATAATCTACCGTCGCCACCACAGTTCAGTCCGGTACGACAGGTTTGAGTCTGCCACCATCGTCACCATGGAAACGCGTTTTCTTTTGTTGTCGTGTGATTGAATTAACAGCAACAGGCCGAGTCGTTTGTAGCCCATCCACTGCCCCCCCCCCACCCCGCTCATTGGATTATGTGAAACAGCTCTCGGGGGGGGGGGGGGGGGTTTGGGGTTGCTACCTGCAGAACGCTGCACAGTGTTTGAACTAACAGGAGGGGAGTAGCTGCCCGTACACATGTACTCACGCACACGAGCAAACAGACCCCCTCCTGCTGTCAACAGTGCACACACAAGCCGGTAATGCCCGAGTACACAGCGCACACCGTGTCTCCCGTCAGACGGTTAGAGGCGTGACAGGCCTGCATCCTAATCAGAGTCCATCATCGGTAAAAACAAAACACAAGAGCTTTCATCATTCAGCTGGTCCGTGAGGTTCTGCACTACGACATAATGTGTCAATGTCGGGCCGAGCATTAATCAATACCTCATTTACCGAGAGACCGTCGGGTTTGTGTGTTTGTGCATCTGGCCACATGCCAGCTCAAGAGATGGTTTCAGCTGCTCTGCAAAACACACAACAATGCAGCTGCTAAGTACATATTAGATATTTCAAGATTGCTCGGCTGTTGCGGGACAAGGAAAGGTCGTCCTGACAGAGACAGGACGTCTTATACAGGAGAGATTATGATCCCACAGTGAACTCCTTAGCCCGCCATGGGGCCGCAGGTACACCTTGCCGGGATTGTATATGAATAGTGTTAAATATTTGATGTTTGTGTTCTGCTAGGCACGCACCCCCCGGGGCAGAGTCCCAGATCACTGAGTCGATCTATAGAAATTAGCAGCATAGCTGATTAAAGCATCAACACTGAGGCCTCCGCAGATGTCACCAGGAGAGTCACCGTGGCGCCGGGAGAGAACGAACGCCTGGCGGTGTGTGTGTGTGTGGGGGGGGGGGGCGTGAGCATTTTAAAAACAGGTAGCGAGGAAATTGTCTTTCCCGAGGTCTCACCTTTGGGACGCCACAGACGCGGATGCTGTTGATGAGGGAACACTCGAGAACCTGACCTTCCTGCAGGAGAGACACAGGGAGAGAGAGAATACACAGAATTACACAGGGAGGAGGATAGCGGGGGGGAGGGGAGGGGGGAGAAGACATCATTTCTGTTGCACAGCGGCAACACCTCGACCTCTCTGCGACGGTTATGCAACATGGCCGCATCGTTCTCATAATCAAGTTTCCAACAACAGGCCTTTCTTTGTTTACCGCGGTCGCACTGGGCGTTCTAACACTTGGTTCAATCTGGGAGTTTAACTCCCAGCGGGACGTCCTCCTGTAACACTTACACGGGAGAAGCAGGTTAATGCCGACAAAGCGCTCTCCAACCCGTCCCGCAGGTTTTCCTGTTGAGCGGCGGACTGTAATGAAAAACCTATATCCTCCCCTGGTTGCGTCCAATAACGTACTTGAATGAGCCGAAAACAAGTGGCCACCTCGAGGGAGGGAAAAGGTGTCTCGTGTGCTCTGTGCTCGCTGCCGCGACCCTGTGAATTTCCCCATTGTGGGACTAATAAAGGAATATCTTATCTTACTTACTCAATACGTCAGACACTTCTTTTGTCACGATGATGTTCCACAGCTGTTTGCTTCCACCTCTAACTACGAACCCCCCCCCCCCCCAGGACACTGCTGTGAACAAGAGGTGTTCCTAGCAGGGATCGGACTACCTGGGCAGGTAACAGGTACCCGTCAGATACCAGAATCTGTTCCGTGTTTCTAGAGGCAACGATCCTGCATGCCTCCCGATCTGGACAGGTGCATTCCGTTCTCATCTTTGCAAAATAAAATATAACAAACAAATGCATAAATATAATTGTGCTGGATTGGGCCGTTGTCACTTTCATGCTTCGTGATGCGTTAGAACCTTTTAAAGAGTTCCAGGAATTATTACTGTCGGAAAAGAACGTACCTCAAACAAAAAACCTGTTTCCTTCTAGTGAAAACACACACACACACACACACATAAACACACAAAGGGGTGGATCGTACCTTCCCCTCACTCTTCCAGCAGATGAAAAAGCCGTACTCGTCCACCTTCATCTGACAGTTGGGCTCAAAGACAAACGGGTCCTGCAGAGAGGAAAAACAATACGAGAGAAGAGGCTTCGTCAGCCAAAGGGTTTTATTTTGAAATTAAACCGTCAACATGTCACATGCACACACGACCCAACCAGACAAATACACCTGGCTGCTCATCTTCATGCTGATCTAACCCACATATTTCCCCCCCCAGCTCAATCGGCTGCCGGAGGCAGTGATTGGACCAATGAATCACTGTGTGTGTGCGTGTCTTTTATCCATCTAAAATCAGACATCTGAGACAAAACATGAGAATTCGATAGGAGATGGGATGCTGGGTCACTTCAGCAGTAACGCACACACACACACGCGCATGCACGCACACCAGAATCCATGGGAAAGAGCTGCGGATAGAACTAAGTGAGCTTTTATTTGACCATATAATTTAATCTAAAACCGTCATAAAAGAAAACCGCACAATCTTATTTCCATTATTGGAAACTGCTTTAAGTGCCGTTAAAAGCTGCACTCTTTCATCTGAACCGGGACTGACGGAGGCCTCAGTGTCACATAGTGAAGCCAAGTGGATGAAAGAGATGGGTCCCAAATGAGCCCCGACCGTTTAGAGCATGCAGCCGGCTACAGTTACACCATCAACCCGCTGCATCTGGTAAAACTAAAAGCTTTATAGGGAACACTCGGCCCTTCCTCACGCAAAGGAACAACCACCTGTGGGTGGATGGACGGACCCCACCGGTCCGGGTACCACTCGGCGTGTGCACAGGGAGCCCGGGTAGGTCTCTTCTTTCGCCTCGTTGGCTCTTTGTGTTGCCTAACATTCCACTTCAGAGTGCGACTGTATATTTTTGAAAGATTTAAAATGAATACACCAATGTTATCAACAGTATTATCTAGCAGTACCTCACAACATTTTGGAAGAAATAAATGATTAAAATGACCAACAGGAAGAATTGGCGCCATTTTCAACATTCTGACTTGTTTTTTCTCTTCTTTAGAGAGACAACAGGCAGTTCAGTCCCCATGGAAACCAAACACCAGCCACATCTTAAGTGATTGATTTACAATTAGTTGGCAATTACTGACACTCACACACACACAACAAATACCACTACACAAGCATTGTGGGACAATAGTCAAATAATGTCATAGCCACATATTGCATTGACAGACTTCACGCAACGATATGTAAACTATGTATTAATACGTAGCGGCCTCCACCTTGCTCTAACATCTGTCACTCAGCGGGGTTTTGTTCAGTGGAAAACATCCATGCTGTTAAGCATATTCATGCCCATGTGTGTGTGTGTGTGTGTGTGTACATGTACGCGTGGCCTCCTGACGGGATCGACACAGAGCATGTCCACGCTCCTGGGTGCACTCGCCCCGCGACATCCAGAGGACGCAGATGTGCCCCGAAGGCTTCGTATCGGCCACGAACTGAGGACTTCCCTCAGAGGCTCGCCGGCCCCGTTTCATGGCTCACTTTGACATGCATGTGGAATCGATGATTTTCCCTCCTCTCACAAACAGAGGACCGCTGTGTGTGTGTGTGTGTGTGTGCGTGCGTGACACACTTAGGCTTGGCAAATGTCCTAGCTAAGTGTCCTGATTAAATTAGTCAGGGGAAACATGGGCAGAAAGACCGTAAGACAGACACACACACACACACACACACAGACACACACACACACACATACACACACAGGGGGATGGATATTTGGTGAGAAGCACTCCCCTCGAACACATTTGTGGAATATCCATTCTAAATATAATAAAATAGAATATACGGGCGACACATATCACCACGAACATGAAACAGAGTAAAGACTTATGTTTCCCTCTCGTTCAGTGTCTATTACTGTTGATGAAACGAGAACAAACGGAATAGGTGACCCGGTTTGTTGATTCTCAGTATATCCCTTGTTCTACTGAAGATTATATATCTCGCTCCGGGATGCGCGAACGCCGCCCGACCTTGTTGTAATCCACGATTTATTTGCTTTTTGGTCTCCAAAGCGGTGTTCTTCCTCATTTTCTACCGATTTTAAATCATTCCGCTCAGCTCCTTGTGCAGCTGTGATGAAACCGCCGCGCGGATGAGGAGAATGACTAATGGTCCTTAAGTGAATACAGAGAACGCATCACTCAGACAGCGCGGCTCAGAGCGAGGCCGAGCCGGCAGACCAGCCGGAGCGCCTCGCCGATGCCGCTCAACGTGGGCCGCCTACACCCACGGCAGCGACGTGTCGGGTTATAAAGGGGACGCCTCTGCTGCATTATTGATGCGCGAGTGCGCGCGCTAATAACCGAGAGGAGGGAGGGGGAAGGATGTCAAAAGGGCAGAGCCAATAACCAGGGACAGCAGGCTTATTGACCGAGTGGTGCAGCGGCCGCCCCACTGCCTAATCAACTGTAGTTTCATCCATGCGTTTTATTTATTTACATCTTACGCACCGCAGGAACCTCGTAATCGAACAAAGATTCGCGTCATTTTTACCTCATCAAACCGGTCGAAGGAGGCGCCTTCCTGCATGAACTCGGGCAGGTGCTTCTGCCAGTTGAATTCGTAGGATTTCGTCATGGCTGCTCACACACCTGAGGGACAAACAGAGGAGAGACGGACACGTGCACAGAGAAGGCATTAGCGAAAGCTCGGCGGGAACAAGGTGTACTGTAGGCGGAAGGAACATTGAGCCTTCAAGGACAGAACGCGTCCTACGTAAACACATACGATGTGTCGACCTCTTTCCTCTGGTCACACACACATCTTGGATCCAACGACAATAAACGCCGTACCGACCCGAAAAAGAGCATTCTGTTTACATTATAAACACAAATACATCGATCGATTCGTTGTTCTCTAACCTGCGATAGGCGCACAGGCACATTAATGCACACGTCAATGCAGTCACATTGATGTTTCTCTGCTTATAGTCTCGATCATCAACACAACCCCCCTGAGCACATTATTCAGTCGCACAGTAGTTTAGTGCAATGCTTAAACGTCCAGGGGACATCGCTGTGATGTGATCCATCCTCATGAGGAGGTGGGGGGGGGGATCCTGACAGGAAGCCGTAATATCGTTGATGACACCACCCAAATTAGGCTCTGGACCCACGTCATCCTCATATGTGTCAGGCAAACTGAGAGGGTGATTGTGACTTGTCTGGTCCGGGAGCTCAGCTGGTATGAAGTCATTACAGTAATACCCTGAAGGGGGGGGGGGGGGGGGGGGGGGGTCGGATTCAGAAACCCGAAAATTTTTTTTTCCCCAATATGCCAAACATATTCAGGACCCGTTTCAGGGTTGAAAGTTCTTTATGACGATGGCTAAACAGACGCTGTATAAACTAAGAGAGAAAATCACATTTAACACAATCAAACTGTAATTTAGTCTCCAGCAATTGTATTCAAGGTGTAATTTGTTTCCAAGTGTTGAAAATATATAAAAATATCCACCTGCATGAGTGTGTGTGTTTGTGTACTTGTGTGTCATTGTCCTGCTCTTAGCGCCGAGGTTGAAGTCCCACATTTCAAAAAGAAAGCACCCATTTTCCACCCGGGGAAAAACTGAACCGGGGTTTTGATGGGTGAGATGACAAAAAGAGGGAGACAAAGAGAGAGAAAGAAAGAAATATGGACAAACAAAGTGCTGTAGTGATGGGGGGGAGGAATGGGGGAGGAAGGGGGAGCGAGGAGATACAACAGAACCGCGGTGGGCCTGAAGACGAGTGAAACAGCTGTTTGTGACGGGGGCCGGCTGGAGAGGACAGGGCACAGCCCGGGGGGGGGTCTGCTTTTGTTGTGGGGAACACAGATCAGAGGAAGCTACTTGCTGAGTGCGCCGCAGTCCACCCCGACACGAGAGACGGAGACGCGGCTTTGAGATGCCCGCGGGACGTCATTACGATTCAGAAGAGCTTCACAATTATACAGCAGCTAATAGGAGCTAATCTCCCCCCATGTGCAGGTCCATTAAAAAGATTTGATTACTCGATCAATGGAAAAGGACCAGAAAATGAGGGAACATTACGTAACTCTGTTTATTCGCTGAGCTCATTTTGAAAAATCCGGGGAGACGACCGATCCGTCCAAAGGTCCAATTTCCATTTTGTGATGTCAGGAATCAGGACACGTTTATACTTTTTTCTTTTTCATCGCAAAAACAATATTGTCGTTCAAGAGAATGCCGAACGCGTTTCATTTCGTGCCCCTGTGGGCATTGACATGAAGGCGCCCCCCTCAGAGCCCCGGGCGGGTTTTCGGTGGCAGAACATCCAGGACGGCACCGATACGCCCAGTGAAAGAGGAGGCAACTTGATCAAACCAGCCCTGCACCATCTGTGGTGTCCTTCCACGGGTCCGTACGCACGCACACACACACACACACACACACACACACATCCTGTCCAAATCACAGATGCAAACTTCCTGTGGAGATTAAGAACCAAGGCCAGGCTCGCTGCCAGTAACACGACCCGCAGAGAGACGGCTCGGGTAAATAGGCTGCACCCTGTCTAGATTATTTAATAATACCAAACCAAATCGGAGAGAAATGTTGTGAATTCCTAAACCGGATTGAAAATCATACGACAACTGGCATATCTAATTTGGACTAATTGGGTTGTGCTGGCCTGCCTGACGTTAGCCTAGTTCTTGCCACTCTCGACCGTTTGCATTAGATAACATTTTCCTCAGCGGGATGAAAAGCCGTCCAATCGCGGCGCGGCTCTGCGAGGTCGCGCCAGCGCCCACATGGCGCCGCTGAGCTCCCGGACGTGTGAGCGCGCACGTGAGGAGCAGGGGGGGGGGGGGGGGGAAACGAGCGAGGTCCGAGCCCCCTGTCCAACCCCTGACAAGGAGATAATTACGACAGATAGGAGCCCCGGGAGGCCCGCCGTCTCCAGCCTCCTCCTCTAGAATGGCAGCGAGGGCAACGGCGGTCCCACACCTCATAAACTAAAATGAGGCTATCGCCGCATCAGCCAGCCAGCGGCGGAAGGTTGACCGGGGACACGCGTTCAAACGGACAACGCGCGGCTGGCACAATAACCAAAGCTCTGCTTTGATGCATAATCCACAACAGGTATTAAGGGAAAGGACTGCGGCATTAATAATAACACAGCTCGGTCCAACCAGGGGAAGCCAAACCAAACACGGACAGATAACAGGCCTTTTTATCCGGGCGGCTCTCGTGCCGCTTTCATCTGACAGCGCAAATTGTCTCCTGCTGTCTTCGATTTCATGCACTAATTTGAAATCTTACCTCGTCCAACATAGAAGTCCATATTTGAGTATTTTTTTATATTGAGGAGAAATGTGGATCTCAGCTGCTATAAAGTAGGCTGCAATCTCTCCGATGACATTAGATTTATGGACTACTAGAAACATAACCATTAACATACAGCTGGAACCGAGCGGGTATGAATGATTGGCTGATACACCAGCTGAACTAAGAAACAAATTACTGCATCAATGTCTCACTGAAAAAAAATCTAAATTGCTCAAATTCCGGGAAACCATATTTTTCTGCAGTCTCCTTCTGAAGCCTCAGAAGCGGGAAAACATAATTTCTGTTTAACTTGAACAGCTGGTCGGAGGTAGACGACAAGATGAATGTTACATACGGGATGATTTTCATCATGCAACCTGACATTTTTTCCCCTAGCGCTCCTGGTTTGTCCATGTATGGCCTGACTGGAAACAAAGCCCACGGTTACCGCGTGTTGTACGGCTGGACCGGCAAGTGCTCGTTTTCCTTCTGTAGTTAGACGGTCAGCACCAAAGCTAATGAACCAAACATGGCAAACATGAAATACAGCAGGAGAACAGCAACGGCAAAGCAACCTGGACACCAGGACACTGGGTTTGTGCATTTGGCCTCCCCATCAAGTCAAACTTCGCTGAGGGGCATCTTCTCGTTTTTGCCACCCACCATTTCTCCAATGAGAACGTTAAATCAGAGGCTCCATTTCATTGCAGAACCACCCTCCCCTCCACCCCCAGTGAGTATCGCGGCTTTCACACGATCACGTCTACTGGAGGTGCTTTGTACCTGATCAAATGCACACACACACACACACACACACACACACAAATAAAATAGGGAAGAGGTTACAAAACATATCTGCCCCCGTGTTCCTTTCAATTTGCTGCCGTGTCATTCGCCTGTCAGACACACAGTATGAGCCGACACTTGAGCGACGGGGGGGTTTGTGTGGATGTTTAGAAGAAGACGGGCATCCAAAGTGAACTCAGAACACAGTGTGACACCTTTAGCTGTTAAGACTTATTCGGCCTGCTTGGTCATGTTAGAGGTGAATGAGATGTTCTGAGCTGTATGAAACGATGCCGAACCGTATGACATTAATACTTCTGCGGGAAACTGGTTCAGACTAAACCACAGGTGCAGTTTAAACCGCAGCCTCTGGGGAAACAACTTTAAATCGGACACAAGTTTAAGCCGGTTCAAACCACGGCTAATGACACGGCAATCGTCTTAAAAATACATCAACTTCCACTTTTATGCCTCGGCCAAAGAGCCATGTTGGACAAAAACGTAAGAGCACGGAGAGGTGGAGGACCGGCATTTAAAGAACACACACTAACAAAGTGCGCACCCATCAGTCCAACAACAAATGATAACCATCACTCTCCCACCCAAAATGTAGTTCTGATCCAAAGTGATTTGCTTCTCCTAATCTGATAAGCAGCCAGCAGGATTCCAACAAGACTGTCTAGCACAGGAAATCAATTATACGTGCATTCCAACCTGATTATATTATTCCCACTTTCACCCCGGTGAAAACTCTGAATCATGTTTGTTTAAACCAGCACGGCTTTGCTTACATACTCTGCACTTCTCAACGTAATAACACGATGCTGCTGCTGCTGCTGCTGCTCCACGTGTTGCCGGCTACGTTTTAGAAAAACAAATAGGAGGAAGAACAAACGGCAAACACGGCGTTATGCAACGTCCTTCCCGATGGCAGCGTGGTCGCCTGTGTCCTAATGCACGTGTACGTACAACTCAACCACCCTGCTTTTCTCGGTGCATCCGGGTCTGTGATCCAAGTCCCTAAAGACGCCGCCCCTATTTACATACGGAGGGCGTGGAATCACTGACGACACACCAGTCTGGAAAGAAGCTCTTGTATAGATACTATAAAGGATTTTTGTGTTTTCGTGACACAGGAAACCTGTGTGCGCCTCTCCTCCATTCCTTCATGTGCCATCGATCTTCCTTTCTCCCCATCAGGCTCACGGCTCCACCAACTGACGTCATCTAGCCGAGGAATTAAGACAAAAAAAACGTTTGAATACGTTTGCTTGACGCTCGCCTTCTCCAACGCAGTCAACCCGAACATCAACACTGGTCATTGTATTTACAGAACGTTGGAAAAGCTTCAACCAATGCAGACTCGTGTCACGGCTGCATTTCTTTAGTGGAGCGGCCCTTCAAAACAGCCTCGTCACTAAGTGGAGTCAAATGAAGCAGTAAACACTGAACTCTCTTCACATGCATTCTGTCCTCACGGCATCATATTCCACCGGAGACGACACTCGGAACGTCCCCCATCGCATCGCATCTCCC